TGGAACATAACGTATAAAAAACAATAATAATTGTAAATTTTTTTTTTCTATCGAGAAGGGAGAAAAATAAAAAAAAATGAGCTAATAAAGTTGTCGCATAATAATAATTATAGAATTTAAATAATGTTAATAATATGAACTGAATTGCTTATATTGAAAAACAAAATGTATCTTATAATAGTATTCAATATAGTTGCACGTATAAATTCATCTCCATTTTTTTGAACTCATTTTAATTTTGTATTGACTTAATACATTTACCTTAATGACGAAATACAAAACTGAGTGAAAAATTATAAAATTAATATTACAAAAAATACTTTTATTTCATTTTTTTTTTTAATTAGATTGATAGTAGTTAAATCAATAGTAAACGTTAGCTTCGCGATAGCTTTTAACTGTACGTCAGTCTTCTCGAAATTTTATCTACATCAGTTTTAATTACATAATTATTTATGATAATTTATAATCGAGTTAAGATAAAAGTTTGACAAATTACAGATTTATAGATTGATCGATATCTAATAATTATGATATAAGTTAATGAAATAATTGATAAAACTATTAATGACAATTGATGAGACAATTAATAAAACAGTTGATGAAACAATTGATAAAACAGTTGATAAAACAGCTAAATTAGAAGGTACAGATAGTGAAATGAATATTAATAATAATGATTTTAATTTAAAGTTTTAACATTTAGAATATATTATTTTAAATAATCAAAAAAAATTAACAACATATGATTATTTGAGATATAGATTTTTACATATTTATTTTAAATACTGGAAAAAAGATAGGTTAACAAAAATTGAAACAAATGAAAAAGTTACAAAAGAAATTTATAATAAAGGAACATATAGATTCAGAATAATTTGAAAATTAGGAAATTATTGAATTAAAAATAATTCGTTATCTATTCCATTACAAGGCTGTCATCAAAAAATCAAATCATTTATTAATGATGAAGATATAATTAACAGTAATTTAATTTATATTTGAGTTAATTGTGAAAAAACAATATCACAAAATTATAAAATATTTGTTAAAACAAAAATTTTTCTCAAATAAATATAAATAAATTAATATCAATAAAAACTACAAAAACATGACTTCATAAATTGGATTTAGTTTTATAATTACAAAAAAAAAATATTTATTTTGATGAATATGAATATGAAAATATCTTATAATATAGACAACAGTTTTTAAAAACTATTAAGTTGATACCTACATTTATTGGTGATGAAATGTAAATGGTTCTTCCAGAACTTAAAGAAGAAGAAAAATTATATATTTTAATTATATATGATAAATGTCTTTTTTATGTCAATAATGATTGTCTTATAGTTTAGGTACCATTAGGTAAATCTTCACTTTGAAAAAAAGAACAAGAAAAATTTTTAATGGTTAATGATTTTTTATTAGAAACAATTAGAAGACTTAAACTTATTGATGATCTTATAGTAAATTATCTAAATATTTCTAAAGATGCAAGAAAATTTCTTTGTCCTAATAAAAATAAAGAAGGCTAGTGAACTTCAGAATACCTTATAGATCAGATAGTTAATGTTGCAATACTTATTTTTAAATTTTTATATCCCAATGCAATAGGTATTTTTGTATTTTATAATAGTACAAATTATAGTACAATAGTAAAAGGTAGATTGAATACTTTTAGAATGAATTTAAATTCTGAAGAAAAGCTATCACATATACATAACACTTATTATGGATCAAATAATATTTTACACTCTATGGTTTTTCTATCTAATAATTCTAAATATTCAAATCAACTTAAAGGTATGAAACTAGTATTAATTAAAAGAGATTATGAAGAGATAATTTATTAGCTAACTGTAAATTATGCAAAGGAAAACAAAAATTACAGATGTAAGCAGAACAGAATATTGTACACATCGAATTTTGTCTTTACAACCTGATTTCTTGATACAAAAATCTAAATTTCAAGAAGAAATTGAAAAATATAGACAAAATATATATTTTATTTCAAGTATTATTGTGAATTAAACTATATAGAAATATATTGGGATGCTGCAAAAAAATACACTAGAGAACATTGCAATTACACTTGGAATGGATTACAAAAAACTGTTCCTGAAGTATTAGATTCAATTTCTTTAATTATGATTTGAAAATATGTATATAAATCATGAAAATATATGGACATATACAGAAAAGATATTACTGGAAAAATGGTAGAATATGCAGTTAAAAAATATAAATCTCATCATCATGTACCTGATGTAATTTATAAAATTTATAATGAAATTAAATAATTGAAATTATTGAAATTTTTATAAATTGTTAAAATATAAAATGTAAATATACTTTCTTGAATTTGATTGGCTAAAATCGCATCATGTGTTGCTTACATAAACCAAGAAAATTGAGAAAATTTTTTTTTCCATAAATAGTTTCTCCCAAATGTATACATTGGATTAAATTTTATTTAAGATTTTCTTATTATAGAGGTTCCGCACTGTATAACTTTTAATAGTATCTCATTTTTATTAATTAGTTATTTCATTAATTATAATTAACAATATTTAAAATATGTTGTAATAAAATATTTTCTTAGCAATATGTTGGAGTGAAGGGTTAACCTTGCCTTTGTGGGAAATGCCGAAACAAATTGTGATTTAATAAAGTAAATTAATGATAATAGTTAGTTATTATTATTCGTGCTAAGCTTTTGATGACTAAAATTTTTTTTTCTATTTCTGGGGGCAATTAAGAAAGAATTGAAACAATTAACCCTGAGTATATTGTTGAGAGAAAGCATAGTAGAGTATATATTTAATTAAGTAATACGTATTTGAATGTATAATTAATGAGTACAAATGAGTAATAATTGCTAATATTGAATATTGTTTATAATAACTTTATAACTTTTAAAGTCAAATCCCCAAAGTTGGAAACCCATGTGTGATTTTTTTTTTTCCGTTGATAAGTTTAGTCATAATTTTGTTTCGAAAGTGACTAAAAGTTGTTTGTGTTTCCAAATATTAAAATCTTTTTTTTTCTAAAAAAAAAAATGATCTAATATATAATTTTCAATTAAGAAGAAAATTAGATCATGGGTAAATCTCAAAGCCTCCGTATAAAAACACTATTTAAATATCCTCTCCTTATATTTATTTTCTTTATCTGAAACTCCGAAACCATCTTATTCGTTTTTTTTTTTATTTTTATTTTTATTTTTTTTTTTAAAAAATGTCTCCAAATCACAATTTACTGATAATGAACGAAAATACTCATGAAATTAGAATGGAAGATTATGACATAAATCCCATAACTGGGTTTCTTCCCCTTATGCCTCCTCTAAGGACTCTTCCTGATGAATATTACGAACCTTGGGAATTTATAATAGAAAATTTTCATGAATTGATGCTAGCAGGAAGATTCAGAACTTCCGTTGATAATGTATGTAATTTTATATAATTTTATAATAGGTTTTAAATAATTTTAAATATTATTTTATATAATTTTATATAATTTATAGATGCCTCTCTTGACTGTTGACCGTCTTAAAACACCAGCCGAATATCATCGAGCATTCTTGGTGTTATCTTTCCTATCACACGGATATGTGTGGGGAAACATGAATGATATATCTGACGTGAGTTTAAATAATCTTCTTTATTTCTCATATTTTTTTAATATTTTAAATATTTATATTTTATAATATATATTTTTATAGAGAATACCTGCAAGTATTGCAATACCTTGGGTAAAAGTATCAGATTATCTTGGAGTTGCACCTGTCGCTAATCATGCAGCTGTTGTATTATGGAATTGGCGACTTATTTTTCCTGATGAACCATTCAGTTTAAAGTAATAATAATGAGAAATATCTTTTTTTTTGATAATATATTTGAAATATAAATTGATAGAAAAATTTTTTTTTTTTTTAATTTTTTTTTTTTTTAAATTTCTATTTTTATTAATATTTATTAGTAATCTATCCACCTTATTAACCTTCACAAATACTTTTGATGAATCATGGTTTTATCTTGTTACAACTGCCATTGAAGGACATGGAGGAAGTGCATTATCCTCTATAATTTCTGCCGTCAATGCTTCTAATGTTGGAAATAATAATCAATTACTTAAATCTCTTAAAGGAATTAGCTCAATTATTGAAAGTATTAATTTAACTCTACAAAGAATGTATGAAAAATGTGATCCTTATGTCTTTTATTGGAAAGTACGACCTTATCTTTCTGGATGGGAAAATGAAGATCGATTACCAGATGGTTTAATTTATGAAGGAGTAGACGGTAATGATAAACATGGAAATCCTATTTATCGAAAATATATAGGAGGTAGTGCTGGTCAAAGTGCATTAATTCAAGCATTGGACATTCTACTTCAAATTGAACATTTTTCTACTTGTTTTATTAAACCGAAAGTTAATAAAGTCGATGAAGTAAATGTCGATAAAGTAAATAAAGATAATGGTGTCAATAAAGATAATGGAGTAAATGGAAGCAATAAAGTTAATGGATTCAATAAAGTTAATGGATGCAATAATAGTGGCGATCAATCATCACGCGAAGGGCAATATCATATGGGAAATGAATATAATAAAGCACCCCAAGTCAATATATGTTCATATATGAATCGTAATAATATTAATAATAATTTAAAATGTCCATTCAACAATATGAACAACAAACAAAAACCTTATTTATATAAAATACGTGAAAATATGCCTGGCCCTCATCGAAGATTTCTAGAAGATCTTGCTAAAATAGCTAACATTCGTAATTACATTATTTCGAATATTGGTTATGATTCAGGCGAAGATGAAGAAATCAATAATTTAATTAAAGCGTATAACGAATGTCTGGTTCAAATGAAGAATTTTAGAAGTTTACATTTACAAATTGTTTCCGTTTATATAGTAATTCAAGCAAATCGAAATAAAACTGTTCTTCCGATTAAAAAAGGTAAACGTAATATACACACATATTCACATTTATATACATATGTTTATATGTTTCATACGTGTGCACCCCCTTTTTTTTTTTAATTTTGATTTTGATTTTTTACATATTTGAAATAATAATAATGATAACAATAATATTAATATTTTTTTTTTTTTCTAATAGAAATTATCACAAAAAATCATACAACGGAACCCATTAAAATTACTAAACCTTCTGTTATGGATTCAATTAAAGGCACTGGGGGGACGAATTTGATCCCATTCTTAAAGCAAATGAGAGATGAAACAATAGCTCAAGAAATTCCGAATAAATATAATTAGCAGTTGAATATGGTTAGAAAGAAAATTTGATTACATTATATATACTATGTATATATAGATAGATATATATAGATATATAGATATATATATATATATTTATTTATTTATTGTTTCACTTGTATAATATTCACATTCTAATCGCATTAGATATTATATTGTAGAATATTTATTATTTAATTTAATAATAATAATAATATGTATTTAGTTTCTTAATAAAAATATATTTACGCGTAATTCTCGTGGTACATTAATCACCACGAGCAATAGCAACCATATGTGCATGCAGATTTACGTGTATGATCTCCACAATCCCAAAATCTTCTCATTTTCTCTCAATCATCTGCCTCCTCAATCTGTCTCAATTTGTTTAAGTTACATTATGATTTACTAATAAATTTCCTTATTTAATTATTTCCATTTTTTTATTTTTCCAATAAAAAATCTTGATCCCAAAAATGTGTTCATATAGTTCATATCAAATATCAAATATAGAAAATATAGATTTCTTTATTACTAATAGATTAAAAAATTATTTAAAATCATCACAAGGATCTTTAATTTGTGATATAAATAATTTAAAATTACATACATGTCGCTACTTTTAACAGAAACAAAAAAATCACAATATGAAGAATTATCCCTATTGATGGCTATGTTTGTTGATGATGAATTCCAATGGTTGGGTAACGAAGAACAAGTGGAGCTTTGGAAGGTATTATGGAATTTTCTAAAAATAATATAGATATATACATATATATATTATATATAATTTATATATAATTTATATATAATTTATATATAATTTATATATTAATTATGTATATTATTTTATTCTAATTTTAAATTTTTTTATAGTTTACATTAGTTACTTTTGCTGCAGATCAAGAAAATCAAGAAATGCACACCAATAAAGAAATTCCCGGTTTTCGATTTAGAATATTATTGAATGAAGAAAGTTGGCTTAATGTTTTTTTACCAGGAAGATATCCAGAAATAAATCCCGAATGCTATTTTTCGTCGGATAAGGCAAATAGACAATTCTGGACTTTGGTAAACGAAGAGATTGAAAATAAATTGAAAGAAAGAAAGAAAGGAGGTAAAGTTATTATCTTTGATCCTTTGTCATGTGAGCAATCATGTGAATTACATTTCTAACTACACTATTTAAATTCCAAAGAATGTTGTATTTTTGATCTTTATCAACATATAAAATCATTTTTACAGTCTAATTTAAATTTCAATACTGATCTCGATAATAACGATAATAATAGTAATGATAATTATAATTATAATAATGATAAAAATACCGTAAAAAAAATTATAAAAATTTGTCGAATTTTAATTTGGACACATCATCTCTTGTCTCTTGAAAAAAGAAAGAATATATGTCAATGGGCAGAAGAATTAGAAATTTGGGGTTTGTAAATCATATAATATATAAAATTACGTAATGATATTATATATTATTTGTGTTATGTGATAACTGTACATATGCTATATATGATATACAAAAGGTTATTCAAAGCCGGGATATCCTGGAATTATTATCGTGGAAGGGTTATATGACAATGTGCAAGAATATATTTCAAGATTAAAAGTATGACTTTTATTGTTATGTACATATTTGTTTTAAAATATTTGTATTAAATATTTGTGTTAAATATTTGTGTTAAATGTTTGTTTTAAATATTTGTTTTAAATCTTTTGAAAGAATTTACGTTGGCAAGCAATTACTGTTCGTTCAGAAGAAACCGAAACGTTTGAAAATTATGACGATGATAATAATAATGTACCATTGAAGAAAGATGATTATAAAGGATATTTAAAATTAAAGTTAGAATGTAATAATCCTGGAATTTCAGAAATGAAGGATATGTCTGAAATCTCTTCAAGGTAAAATTATATAATTATATATACACATCACATACATTTAAAATTTATAATAACATATTTTATCTCACATGATTTTTTAAAGGATGAAAGAAGTTGGATTGGAACAAATGTTTTTGTCTTCTATGAAGATTCACAAAAAATAATTAATTTATTTAATATAAACAATAAATAAAAAATAAATAAATTAAATTTATTATTTTTTTTTTAATTGTTCTTACATTTGTATTGTTTCTAAAAAAGGATATTATAAATATTAATATATATATTTTTTTTAAATCAGAAATTTGTAATTGTTAATATTGTTAATTGAATTGAATTTCAAATATATTCAAACATAATGAACATAATGATGATGATGATAAAAAAAAAAAAATAAATGAAATAATGAATAATTATAAAATGCAAAAGTTTCATTGAAGTCATATGATGACTGAATTCAATTTTTTTATTTGAGAAAAAAATACAAAAGATAAACATTAACACAAAATAATAAAAAATATTTTTAAATTGTAAATCAGAATTAATTATAGTCATTATTTTCATTATTGGGGTAATGCAAAAACAGTAGTCTACAATAAAGAAGAGACAACGTCTCCTTAAATATTAATAGATGATTTAGATAATATTTTTGTGTAATTGCAAATAAACCACCAATATCTCTTTGAAAGCAAATGTCCCACTTACAATGACCCAAAAATGCCAAATAAAATATTTATGCATCATTACACATAGTGACTACGAAAATTTGAGAAAAAAAGAACCACTTATTAACGTTTTTTTATATTATATTTATTATAAAATTATGTAATTTTTTGTATTTATTAATCACAACATGTTTTTCCTTTACCACCAGATTATTTACTTGATTGAATTATCGAATTATTGGATTAGATTATTGACAAAAAAAAAAAAAAAAAAAAAAAAATGCCGGGCATCCGGAATTTTTTAAAAATTTTTAGACTACAAGTGTATGTCCTGAGTAAGTTCCGTTTTCAAATTTTTTATCCCTTTTTTTTTTTCAACTTTTTTCCTCGTGCTCTTATTTAGTTATTTAGTTCGAGTTTATCCCATTTTAATTTTTTAATAGCTGTGCTTTTGTTGTTGAACATCGAAAAGCAACGATAACCTTTTATTTGACCTACAACTAAAAAAAAACCCTCTCCCGTATTAATATTATCTTTCCTTCCATTCTCATAACAAAAGCCATAATACTGTAATAGGTTTTATAACACCAATATTGGTTTTTTTTTTCTGAAACAATAATGCTAGTCTTCGTTTCTGGCAGCAAATAAATATATTTTGGTTGAAACTTGGTTTTCTTTGTTGACAAAAAACTAATATATATTGTTCAACAGCTTATTAATTAATAATAAATATCCACCTCACCGCTTTATTATTTATATATACCAGCAAACATCTTTTTGACATCTATTCCCGTTTCTATTAGACTGACGACTTAAGGAAAAACTTAATAATATAATATACACTTATATATATAGTAATAGAGTAATAACAGTAGTTTAAAGTTCAAAGTGTAACTAAATTATTACTAGGAAAGAAAGGAATAAAAAGTTGGTGGAAACAACACACTCTAGCCTTCATCACCTTATATTCATTTTTTAATATACAATTAATATATTCAATTAATTCAATTTCAGAATTAATAATAAACTACAATTATTTCATCAAAAGTATCTTTTAATAATATAAAAAAAAATGGGGAGTCAATTAACTAAAGAGCAAGCTCGTTTACCTTTCGGATACGTCTCTGTAAAATCGAGTCGCCGACGAATAGCAGGTTTAAATCCATCAACAATACGACCTAACGTACATCCCTCACCTGATAATCCTGACTCGCTCTTTAATGATCTTTTGGAGTTAAATAATCATCTTCAAAATGTTTCTAATAACCTAACTCCCACCATAATATCATCACAAACTGGTGATACTTCATCGATAAATACTTCTATCACGGAACAACCAGGTCAAGATGGTATGGTAGAAATATATAATAAACCCGATGATTATATTTCATATTCACATGATCACGGGGATGACTCCTGTTGCCAAGGAACGATTGAAATTCCGGAAGAATTTAATCCGTATAATAATTTAAGTCAAATAGTATTTAGTGAATTACCAAATTTAAAAAATATTGGACTTTGCCAATTTGGTTTGGTAAAATTAAGTCCTAATATATGTTTTTTATATATTACAACATGTCTACAAATGTAATTATTATTTTATATTTTGTAATATATCTAATAATTATTTATATTTTATAATTACATTTTGTATTATTATTTTACATTTTATAATTATTTTATAATAATTTAATTCTTGTTTTTCTCTCTCTCTAGATGTTGTAATGAATTAGTAGAAATACCAGCTGAAATTGGATATATGAAGAATTTGCAGACGTTAGACGTATCTAAAAATCGGTTAGAATATATTCCGGACACAATTGGATTTCTTCACAAACTTGTAGAACTAAAATTATCGGATAATCGTTTAACTTCGATACCTTCAGCTATCGGTTCTCTAAAGAAATTGGGTACACTATTACTTGATAATAATAAAATTACGGAAATACCACCCGAAATCAGTCAAATTAAAACACTTGTGAATTTGGATGCTCGTGATAATCTAATTACGGTTTTACCAGCCGAGCTTGGTCGACTTCAATATCTTAGAAAATTACGAACTGATGGATGCCCATTAACTACAGAATTTGTACATCAATTAGTTCATACTCCCCCTACACTTATGGAACTTGCCGCACGTACCATTGTGAGGCACCAAATTCCAATATTACAGAATACTACACCTCATATTAAAGATTATCTCGCTAGCGCCAAAAAATGTAGTTTTTGTGGTGGTCCATATTTCGAAAGTTATGTAAAACGAGGGAAAATTATTGATAAAAATGATCATCATATTCCTCTTGAATATCGTTTATGTCATCCACATTGGAACACTGAGAAAGAACGTGTTAGTCTTTTATTCTGTGCTTTACCGGAAACTGCACCTAGCCCTGAACCATATAGACAACAAAAGTATTACCATCAATTTACAAATGATAGACCATTTGATGGAAATACGACTATTGTTAGTGTTTCCTCCCCTAATCTACAAGAAAAAGTGAGACGCCCACCAGCTAGACGATCTATGACAATCCCTCTTAGTTCTCTTACTAGGTCCCCCTCATTACCTAGTTTACCAAGATCTGCATCACCAAGACCATCATCAAATGATATCTCACAAGAAGATACAGGAATGAAAAAAAATAATAATTCACGTGGACGTACTGGAGTGACATCTCTATGGCGATCTAGAAAGAATAATTCAGCATCAGCTATTTTAGGAAAGCCAACGCGTAACAGTTCTTCTCTACGTCTAAGACCTCGATGGCGTATATGATAATACCCCTAATTATCATTACTTTTCGGTAAATTGATTTTTTTTTTATCGAAGACTTGTATCGTTTTTTTTTAATCTTTTTGGTTGATGGGATGGACATTATAATTTTTAGTTCTGTTATTATTTCATTTTATTTGACTGACATTAAAAGTGAACGTGATAATGCGTGGGGATCATGTATATAAATTTTTTCATGGATATTTCTTTATAAAAATTTCTCTTCAATTCTTCAATTTTATTATTATTAATTGCCATCACATTTCCTACGCACATATTAATTGATCAAATAATCTACCATATCAATCACGCAAAATCTTATCATATGACCATAAGCTCTAACTTTTATTTCTTAGATAATAATTTTTTATTTTTTTATTTTTTTTGGTATCACTTGTAACCAATACTTTATCCACCAACTTACATTCATTTATAAACACATTCACTCTTTAAAATAAACATGTTCCTATTAAATACTTTTATTTATTTAACATACTAACTTTATTCATTCACTTATTTATTCCAAATTATTCCAAATTATTTCCAAGGTGACATTTCTTCCATCCTTTATTTGTTCCAATTATCGTTTTCCACACTCCCCCTTGATCATTCATTTTATCGCTCATTTTACCATTCACATTATCATAAAATTTTATTATTATCTTTATCATTCACTTTATCATTCATTTTATCATTCACTTTACACGAACACCAATAAAATTTTGAGGATAGCGCCATTTTATTATTATTATTATTATAGCATTTTATAGCACATTTTTTTTTTGTTAAAAAAAAGGGGAACATCAATTGTTCGTGTAATACATTGGAAATGTGTTTGTACATATTTATTAGGTGGATTATTTTCATTACTTCCTTATCTCCAAAGTTATCTTTGTATTTCTTTTTCATAATTATTATATATATATTTTTTTTGCGATGGTTAAAAATTTATAAAATTTATTATTTAAATAATATTCATAGAAATCAATAGTAGCATTATAATATTATTATTTTTTTAAAAGTGGTGTTTTTGAAGCTTGTATTATAGGAAACAGATAATGAGTATAGTTGAAATGTGAGCAATATTTGGGAGTAGGCAAGATGCATTAAATTGGTAAATTGATTAATTATAATTGGGCCGGAAAAAAGTGTGGATTTGGAAAAAAAAAACTCCCTTCAAAAGAAAAAAAAAAGAAAAAAAAAAAAGAAAAAAAAAAAGTGACTGTCAACCTTATGGAGAGGGGTCTTTACTGTCGATTTGAAGGGATATTAATGAAATTCATCATTATTTGTATTTCTATTATTCTATTTATTATTACTTCTTTTTTTATGTAGATTATATTTTTGGAAATTATTTTTTTTTGCCAGGTATTGTTTTTGGATTTATTACAATAGATTTTTTTTGACTGGATGGATCTTGTTAATAGTAATATAGAGATTCCAAGAAAAAAATATTATTTACCGCGTTAAAATGTCTTTGGGGTTCCATTTTTTAGATATTATCATCTAATTTACTGTATAAAATATTTATTCCATAATTCCTCTCAAAGACTCCTGAATTCTATATCTGTCTCATTCTCTGAGAAAACCAAAACTCGAACTCTCGCTTCCAAGCAATCATACTTTAATATTCCACTTTCTTCACTCTTCATAAAAATTCATCATAATTTATAATCGCAATTTACATTCACAATCCCATTTTTTTTGCATAATCATCCTTCATTTTTCATAATCATTATTATTATTTATTATATTTATCTTGATCCTTCCAGTCTTTATAACGCGGTAAAAAATCATTGTAAATTTAAATCCCAAAAAAAAGACCAGTTTCTTAAAAAAAAAAAATTTCCATTATTAATCTCATTACATAACAATCAAAAAAAAAAAGAAACATTCCTTTCCAATTTTATCAAATTTTCTTTCTTCTCTATCATATATTTTACTCATACAAAAAAAAATCAGATTAAATATATATCATTATTTAAACATTGTTTCTCTTTTTAAAAAATCAATGTGTCTTTCTTTTCTTTAAAATTCTTGGTGGTATAACGCCATTAAAAATATTAGCTGATATATTTTTTCTTTTTAACTATCTGGCGGGAGGAGCATATACTAAAAATATGTTCCATAAATTTAAAGTTTTATACGTAAAAAAAAAAAAAAAAAAAAACCAAAAAAAATATATATAACAAAAAGAATAGATTCGACAAATATACGATTTATATATATATATATCTGAATATAAATACGCAATTTTGTTTTTATCTTTTCATAATATTTAAATATCAATAAAAAAAAACCAACTAGATTTTAAAAATCTTATTATTATTTTTTTTTTAAACAACGATTCTTTGGCAAATAATATCATTTTTTCACGTGTATAAATCACTTGCTGCGCGATATTCGCTTGCGACCCATTTTAGAAGTCCGGAAAGAGATAATCGATGTAAAAAAAAATAATCTCAATTTTATATCCGAATGTGTTGTATATGGAAATACTTTCAACATACGTACGCAAAGTACTATGTTCATGATATTTGGAACTAATATAACGAAGGTCTGTAGATCAACGAATGTGGTGAGAATAGGTTTATTTGGAAATAGAACTTATTCCTTACTCACTGCGAAAAATAATTCGGAAGTCTTAATAAAAAGAACCAATTTGGTCAGGATAAAACGAAAAAATATACTACGCTTGTACGCAACAGAAGTCGATCCAACAAAGCAACCTAAGGGTAACGATAAAAGCGATAAAGATGTAGAAGATAAAAAAGATCATAATCAGTCAACTAATAAAGAACAAAAAGACCAAAGTGAGGTTAAAATTCCAAAAGGATTTTCGAATTTTTCAAATAATAAAAATGTTAAAATAAAAGGGGAAACTCCAAAACTCGAAAGTCCTCCTCGTTCCCAAAAGGATCGAAAATCATCAGAAAAACAACCACAACAAATGCCAAATATTCGAGAATTTAATTTACAACTTAATGCCAATACTATACTTCCTCTCCTGTTTTCATTATATGTTCTTTATAAACTAACAGGAGGTAGTGACAATTCTCGTGAAATTACATGGCAAGAGTTCCGGACAGCATTTTTGGATAAAGGTTTAGTAGATAAATTGGTTGTAGTGAATAGAAAAAAAGTTCGAGTTTATTTACATTCAAATGCTACTGGACAAATGTATCCAAATACTTCATCTTTACCAAATACAAGTTATTATTTCAGTATCGGATCAGTAGAAGCATTTGAAAGAAAGTTGGATGCAGCTCAAAAAGAATTAGGAATTCCATCATCTGAGCGAATCCCAGTGGCATATCATGATGAAGTTAATATATGGAATACATTATTACATTTTGCACCAACTCTCCTTTTGACTGGTGTATTATTTTATATGACAAGACGTGCAAGTGGTGCTTCGGGTTCACAGGGAATTTTTGGTATTGGAAAGTCTAAAGCAAAATTATTTAATCAGGAAACTGAAGTAAGAGTAAAGTTTAAAGATGTTGCAGGTATGGATGAAGCTAAAGAAGAAATAATGGAATTTGTTAAATTTTTAAAGGATCCATCTGCTTATGAAAAATTGGGAGCTAAAATTCCAAAGGGTGCTATCTTAAGTGGTCCCCCTGGTACAGGTAAAACTTTACTTGCTAAGGCAACAGCGGGTGAAGCAGGTGTACCTTTCTTGAGTGTTTCTGGGTCAGAATTTGTAGAAATGTTTGTTGGTGTTGGTCCATCTCGAGTTCGTGATTTATTTGCCAATGCTAAAAAACATGCACCATGCATTATTTTTGTTGATGAAATTGATGCAATTGGAAAATCACGTGGAAAAACGGGACAATTTGGAGGGAATGATGAACGTGAAAGTACTTTAAATCAATTACTTGTGGAAATGGATGGATTTGGTTCAAGCGAACACGTTGTAGTTTTAGCTGGTACAAATCGACCAGATGTATTAGATCCTGCATTGATGCGTCCGGGTCGATTTGATCGTCATATCGCTATTGATCGGCCTGATGTAAAAGGTAGAGAAGCAATTTTTAAAGTACATTTAAAACCTATAAAGACCAAAGAAGATATTGATCGTTTATCAAAAAAACTAGCCAGTTTTACACCAGGATTTTCTGGAGCCGATATAGCCAATGTATGTAATGAGGCAGCATTAATAGCTGCACGTTATCATAAAGATTCAGTATCAGAGGAACATTTTGAGCAAGCTATTGAACGTGTAATTGCAGGAATAGAAAAGAAATCACGTGTATTATCTCCTGAAGAGAAAAAAACAGTAGCATATCACGAAGCAGGACATGCAGTCGCTGGATGGTTTCTTGAACATGCTGATCCATTATTAAAAGTATCAATTATTCCTCGAGGTATTGGAGCACTTGGATATGCACAATATTTGCCAAAAGATCAATATTTATATTCAACAGCACAGTTATTAGATCGAATGTGTATGACTTTAGGTGGACGAGTTTCAGAACAAATCTTCTTTAATATAGTGACTACAGGAGCCCAGGATGATTTGCAAAAGATCACAAAGATGGCGTACGCACAAATTTCAATTTATGGTATGAATCCAATTATAGGACCTTTATCATTTCAAAACCCAGGTGAATCTGAACCACAATTTCAAAAACCATATTCAGAAGAGACAGCTAAAATGATTGATGATGAGGTTCGGAAATTAGTGGCAATAGCTTATGAACGCACTATGAAATTGTTAACAGAAAAAAAGAAAGATGTAGAGAAAGTTGCACAACTTCTATTGTCTAAAGAAGTTTTAAATAAAGAAGATATGATTACATTATTAGGGAAAAGACCTTTCATAGAAAAGAATCAATCTGATGATCATACAATACCACCAGGTGGATCACCAAGTATTCCCGAGCAATCATCACCATCATCACCATCATCGCCACCACCAGCAGAACCTTCATCAAATGTTTAAACCGTTAAAAGTAATAATAATTTGCTTTTTGAAAGATAATTAATTTAATAATTTTCATAATCATTATGATGAATAATGTGGTTTATAAATATGTATAGTTATTATTATATAGATGATAGTCATATTTTTTTTTATAAATTTTATTATTATAATTTAATATTTTAATTTGTAAATTCAATATCAACCAAGAATTATTTTATTTATGTGATACATAAAAAAAAGTTTTATATAAATTTTGTAAATAATTTTATTTGACGAAAGAAGTTTCTGGTAACTTTATTTTTAAAGAATTACATTATCTGAATATTTTCTTCCTTCGATCGTAGGGTCCCTTAATAATAAAATCAATAAAAAAAAAAAAGACTACTAAAAGAAAATTTGCCTTATATCTGTCTTACTAAATTGTTGCCCACATTTGGCACATTTGCGGTTGCGACTTTCAACTTGTTTGTCCAAACATTGTTTACAAAATGCGTGCATGCAAATAAACACACAATGGTCTTTAAATCTGATATTACATGTTGAACATTTCCATTTTGTCTGTTAAATAAAAATTATGGATCAAAAAAGATATTATTAAAAATGTGAAAAAATAAAACTATTAATTTCATCTTATTTACCTCATATGCCTCAAGTAATTTTTGCGCATCGGAAGACACTGCAGATATTCGAAGTTCATCGACTTCCTTAGTTGCTGTTTCCAGTTGATCTTTAACTTGCCTTAATTTTTTTTCCATTACTCTTTTTTCCTCATCACGTCGACGCAATTCTGAATTGTATTCCCTGACATTCGCATCCCTCTTTAATTCAAATAAAATATCGTTATTATCATTACATTGTCAATTAAAAATAACAAAAGAAAAAGTCAACAATAACAAATTTTCAATTTACATCATTTCGTAACATCTCTGAAATTTTTTGTTCTACTTTAATTCCATTATCAAGGGATACCAGTTTTTGTTTATATACGGCCAATGATTGGAGTGCGTTGGCAGATTCTTTGCTATATTTTTCCTTTAATTATAAAAAGTAAACTTATATGTAAACAAATAATTATATTAATTTCAAACATTAATCTAGATATATATAACTTTCATACCAATTGAGCCTTAGTTGACGCCAACTCATTCTTTTGCGTATTAAGTTGTTCATGTTGTTGAGATACAACAACATTCATGGAAACAATTTCATTCTGAATTTTCACGTTTTCTTCCGTTTTCTCATTAAGTTTTTGTTGAAATTTGGTAAGCTGATAAATGATAATAAATAATAATTAATTAATATTATTATTTAATATTATTATTTAGATATGAGCTGATCAACTCATCACCAAACAACGAATATTTTAATTAATATTTTAATTAATATTTTAAAATTTTCAAATATATTACCGATTGTTTCAAAGGTTCGATTCTCTGATCTTTCGTATCGAATACAGACATGTGAAAATCATCCTCCCTTTTCTTCTGCTGTGAAAAAAGCATCTCGATTTCAGAGGATTGAGCTTTTTCATACTAAGTAAAATGCAAATTCATTGAGACCTTCGAATATTTGTAAAGTCAATAAACAAAAATATTATTCAATAACATAGAATCAAATAAATTAAATACTTGTTTATAAATTTCATTCATAAATTCGAGTTCACGTATTCGGTCATTTAACTCCTTAATGTATAATGCGTCATTTTTTTGCGATTCTTCACTATTCAAATTTCAAGATATTTAGTTTTTTTTTTGAATTGACATTATAAAACTTTTTTAACCATTTGTAGATATTTTGTAAACATTTGCAAATACTTACTTTTCAAACTTTAATTGGTTATTAATAGCTTGAATTTCATCAACTTTTTTAGCTGAATCACTGCTCTGGTTCTCTCTAACAGATGATGATTCCCCTGAAGAAAATGTACTTTTACGACTTTTACTGTTTTCTATTTCAGTAATTCTAGAATACAGCTTACGTACTTCTTCTTTTAAATTTTGAATAATTTCCATTCTGTCGTTAGCAAGCATTCTATAATAAAAAATAATGAGTTTCATTCTTTCTCATAAAATACTTTATTTTTGATATATATATATATATCAATAGTTACCTAATTAATGATATTTTTTGGAACTCTTGAGGAATCATTGTTCGAAGTGATTCCACTTCCTTAACTAATTCATTTCTTTTTGCACGTATACGCTCAAGATCATTATGATACTCTTTTTTTACTTCTTGAAATTCTTGTTCCATTCGCTTCATTTCTGACTGGATTAAAATTTATTATTTTTTGGAATTTAGCCAATTTGTAAATTATTCAAAAATGTATGTATATAAATAAATATATATATATATATATAAATATATATATATAAATATAAATAAAAACAAAAACTAAAATACACACCTTCCATAAATCGTCTATTTTGTCTCTAGAAACTGTTAAAATTTGTGCCTCCCGAGTTTTTATCTCGAAGAGAGCATATAAATGTGCATATGAATCATGAAGCGACTCAAGCTCGAGTTGAAGAGTTCTATATGTTTCGGATTCTTTGATACGTTCTTCAGGAAAATATCTTAACTAAATTTTTTAAAATAAAAATATTTATTGTTCCAAGTTGATAAAAAATGATTAGCCAATAATATAGTAAATAAATTTATAAATACTTTTTCCTGAATTTCGTGAATTTTTCGCCTCCATTCAGCTTTTTCAGCTTGAGTATCATTAAATTCCTTCACCCGAGATTCAGCTATAGATCTTAATTCTATTAACTCCAATTTTTCCGACATTGACTTGTTCGCGGAACCACCCTATTCAATATATTATTTTTGCCAATTTAAATGTTATATGAATTAAATAAAATGTTTCAATCTCTTAATATTCTTACGGAATTTTTATCAAGTTTTCTTCCGAGATGTAAAAACGGATTTATTGTAAATATATTTGATCTATCCACATTTTTTTCTAATTGCTCAAGTTTATCTTGAGTGTTTTCAAGATTTCGAAAAGTTAATTCAAGATTTGCTTTAGCGATTTCTAAATCGCGTGTTAGAGAATGAACCTTTTATACAAATAAACAATATAAAATATGAAGAATTAATTAAAAAAAAAAAGTATTAAAATTTTTTTATTTTTAAAAGTAAACAAAATGGACAATAATTAATATAGAATGTAGAATATAAACCTCGAATGATCGATTTTCATGTACAACAATCTTTTCCAACATAGTTGAATATAAATTATCTTCTTTTTCTATTTCATTATAATATATATCAGCCAGACGAGATTGAAAATCACTATCATTTTTTAATTCTTTTAAAAGATCATCCCGTTCACGGAACCAATTTGTCATTTTTTCAATAATTATTTCAACAACTCGTCTCGTATACTCTAAAGATTCGTTTTCATATATTCTGTTCAAATAAGGTCCATTGAAATTTACTTTAAAAATGAGTGAAATATAAAAATTTAAGTTTTAAAATATGAAAAGAAAATAATATATATATATATATAAGTATATAAAAATATATATAAATATATAAAAATATATATAAATATATAAAAATATATATAAATATATAAAAATATATATAAATATATATAAATATATATATAAAGATATATAAATATATATAAATGTAAAATATATAAATATATATATATATATATATAAATGAAATAAATGTAATAAATGTAATATAAAATAATCTTTTAATAATTACCATCAGAAGAACCAATTTCATCCAAAAGACCTTCATCATCAAATCGAATTAGAAACTTTCGTAAATATTCTAAAAGCTAGAATAAACATATTTATAATTTGTGTTTATTATAAATCAAGGAGTATAAATTTAATTAAAATAAAAAGGAATTATAATTTTACGTACTTGATCTACAATGATCAACTTTTTTTTATATTCTTCGTCTTTTTCGAGTAATTGCTGATTTAATTCCGAGGCATTCTCTGCTCGACGTTTGTATTCTCTCATTGACTCCAATAACACATTTTTAATATATTTCTAAATCATAATAATAATAATAATAATAATAAAATTGAGAATATAAAATTTATTTTTACTGAAGGTAATCTTCATAAGAAACAAATAAAAGTTGATAAGTATAGATCTAACCTCCAACCATTCTGGTTCAGAAATATTAATATTTGCGATGGCTTGATAGTTAATCGAATTACTTGAAGTCACACCTTGATCATTCTGTAGACACTCATTTGAACTTAAAGGTTGAGTGCTGTAAGGTTTTTTCTGTAGTGGACCATAGTTCGTATTTGAATCGTAATGTAATCGCTTCCTATCACCCATTGGAATCTTTTTATATTTGTTTAACAGAAAATTATACTGATTTAATTCCAATCAACGTTTTCTTAAATAATTTGTAATAAAAGTCTTGCTCGTATGATACTAGCTCAAGTACATATTGCGTCATTTGTACAAAGTCTAGGCCAAATAATCGTATAGTAATAAAACTCTTTAAAGATCGTCTATAAAGCTATAAAAATATTTAAAGAGTATTCTCAGTGTACCTATTCTCATAATGACACCACGCAAGTAGTGCAATCCAAAACTTACATGCAAGAATCTGAATAAAGAATAATGCGTTCAATAAAATCTTTATTTGTCATTTTTACTTGATTGATGGATTGTGCAACAGAGAATATTAATGCAGAAATATATAACATGATCCCAAAATAAACATCAAACATTCATACATTTTATTTATTTATTTAATTTTTCCCGAGTAAAATATTTTACAAAAAAAAAAAAAAAAAAAAAACAGGTTTAAAGAAAGTTGATATTATACTCGAGAGAAATAATTTGATAAAAAAAAAAAAATCCCTCAAAATAATTGTTGTTATATAATAAAATGTATTTGATTTATACAAAAGAAGATGCATCTTTTACATCAGTGCCAGATGGAATTGGATCATTTGGTCTCACAGTATAAGTTGGTGGTGGAACCCAATCATGAGCTGTTGGTGGACTATTAGAATAAACCACATAAGTTGGAGTTATCTGACCTTCTACATAAGGAATTATGTCTTTTCGGAGACCCATCGTTTTGTGCGAATAACGATAAATTATATATGAAAAGTAGATCTATAGAAGGTGTGAAAAAATAAATTAAATAAATAAAAAATTTTTTAAAAAATAATTAAAATCAAATGAATTTTTTTTTTTTTTTTTAAAAAAAAAAATTAGTTAACGTACTGAGAAGAATTCTATAAAGAGAACTCTAAAAGCCTCTTTAATCAAAAACATATTGATAAGTTGGACACAATCAATGTTATTTTCTTCTCCTGTAAGTTCTGTTTGACATCTATTTATGGATTCATCTTTAACGACTATTTCAATAATATAATCGATCGTGGTATAAATAAACAAAAACGCAGTAATAACCCAAATTGCAATTGATATACGGCGCATCGCAATAACATTATCCTATAAAAAATAAAATAAAATAAATAAAAAATTAATTATAATTAAATTCTACAAAATTATTTAAATTATCTCAGATTTATAAATAAATATACCTGTCTGAGTGCGAGTATCCCGAAAAAACTAGTTAGAGATATTATACAATATAAGATACCAGAAATTATCAAAGTTGATTCATCAACGGAATCATTATAAACTAAAATGAATAATAAATTGAATAATAAATTATTAATAAATTGAATAATAAATTATTAATAAATTGAATAATAAATTATTAATTATTTTTATAATTTTTTTATTATTTGAAAGATCAACTTACTGGTTAAACCGGCGAAACTAGCAATACAGCTCAAAATTCCATATAGCTATATGCAAAAAAAAAAATAAATAAAATGTTAGTCATGAAATCATAGAAATATCGACTAAAATTCATAAATTAAAAAATTCTGTTATAATAATACTCACAGAATATAAGGATAAAATAGCAGCAACTCCCACATGTTCAGGAATGCAAACGCAACAATAGTTCATTGATCTATCATCAAGAGCTAAACCTTGTCTACCATCAGAAGAATCTATAATAGTAATGGTAGGGTATGTACCTTTTTCATATGAATTATCATTATCATTATCTGTCTGAACATTTGTTGTCTGAGAATTTGTTGTCATTTTAAGATGGTAAAAATTCAGAAAATTCGTTAAAAGAGAAAAGTACCGCACAGCGATTTAAATACCAAAATGAAAAACGAATAAATAAGAATGAAAAAGGAAGTAAGTGGTGGCTATAGTTAATTTGAGCAAATATGTGCTTAGTAAATCGACCGGCGATTTTCTTAGATCTTAAGGATTTTATGAGAGATTTAAGGGATTTAAGGAATGAAAGTTTTAGTGACTTTTGAGGAATTATTTTTTATTTTTATATATAGATAAAAAAAAATGATGGGAATGGGTCTAAATTTAGAATAATCTTCGATGATCACACTTACCAAATGTTTAACAAATTCACCTTGTACGTATTGCGAAACATAGTTTTTTTGTTTGAGGTTCTTTCTATATTGTACACATGGACCCCGTCACACAGTTTGCTCTATCATTCTTACAAATAATACAGAAAAAATGGCGGCATGAACTTTATTTCAAAAACCCAACTGTTTTTGATACATTATAATTTTTATATCACTTACGTGACATTTGAAAAAAATAACGTGGTCTGATCTGTTATTATGTGTCACATTAAATATTATCAAATATTATTGTCACGATCTTTATTTTACTTAAAATATAGGACAAAATTGATCATGATGGTGCGTAAGGATATAATTTCTATATTGTGTGCAGTGATGTACAGATTATATAGATTATATTGAGTATTGTGTTTGTTAATTCACAACATCAGATTTTAAGAGGATGTAAAATTTCAAAAAAAATTATAATTATCAAGAGAAATTGTGCCACAATAAATGTACCTATAACATATCCACTTTTTCATTATTTATCATTATTATCATTAGTATTATTAATATTATTAACAGTAACATTATCTTCATTATTATCTTCTAATAAATAAAATAAAATTAATATCGATCTTAAATTTTTTTAAAAGAATCTTTCTCTCCGATATAATATAAAAAATTACTTATTCAAATGCCTTTAATGAAATATTAGAAAACAACATAAAAAAAAATGATCAAGCAAAGAGAACAAAAAAAAATTAGTTGAAATATTTGATGATTATTAAATTTATTTTGGATATAAATTAGATACAATTAAGAAAACATTTGTTAATTCTCAAAATAAAAATTGGTTATAATATTTATTAACCTTTTATTCATTCCCTCTTGAATAGTAAAGTTAATTCCTTTCATTCATTCCCTCTTGAATAGTAAAGTTAATTTTATTAGTAAATATTAAAAACAAACCGATTTGTGTGATTAACCTAATCTAAAAATTCTTGAATTTCAGGACAGAATTGCTTATAATTATTTTTGAAAAAAGTTGTATTATTTTATTTTAATCAGACTTTAAATATGTTCTAATCTATTCAACTTAACATTTTAAATGTTGCTTATATCATCTCTTGTATAATTGATAAATATTGTAAAACTCCAAGTAAATTCCATTTGGATGATCAAATATTTGTGAATTCAATAACTAATAATAATATAAAAAAAAAATTAATTAGAAAACTATGCAAGTAGATACAAAAACACTAACAGAAAGTCACTAAGTTAACTACAAAGTAATTAGTTGACTCAGACTACTAAATATCCCAAAATGATTTCCAAGAATTTAATTAACTTAGGATTAAGTCTAACTATTTTCAAGGTGTTAAAACCACCAAGTAATTAGTTAACTCATAATTTGTCATCTAAATGCAAGGCAATTATTTATCTCAAAGAATGAGTCTAACAATTCACAAGGTGTGTTAAAACCGCCAAGTAATTGGTTAGCTTAGAACTTCACTAATTAAATACAAGGTTATCACTAAGTAGTTAGTTAGCTTAAGAATGAGGCTAATTACAACACAAGGTGAAAAGTAGAACAACACAATGATAACAGTAGTTAGCTCAAGTAGCTTTAATACATTAAAACCTTTTTTACTTTTGCTATAAGGAAGGTTCGTAACTGGCCCTTCCTTCAGAGCCTGTAGACCTTATAACAATTTCAAAAAAACTTCTGCGAGAGAAGATTCTCTACTTGCCTTGTTAAATGTTTAGCATTTCTATCTTACGGAAAATCATGTTTCCACGAGTTGTGTGAGAATTTACAACGTTTTTGCCTTATTTAAATACCATTTAAAGGTTAAAGGGGGATTATGTTGACCAACCAATCAAAATAATTTATTTTGATCAACGCGGGTGAAAAAATTTTGCTCGTCGATCAGTAGGACTTATCGACATATCCGCAGACTACATAAAAAATGATTTACGTTTATCCTTAATCATTATTCATATTAATTACGAAAATGTCTTTCGACACGACGGCTAGCTTTCTTGGTAGACTTACCTCTTCTGCTAGTATTCCGCGACGTCATTCAATATATGGAACAGGTGAAGATAGAATTGTATTAGATATTGGAAGTCTATATATAAAAGCTGGGTTTAGTGGCGAATCTAGACCAAGGCACATAGTTCCTGTGTATGCTGGTAACATGAAGACTCATTGGGACCCAGATTTCAATGGAAGTGGTGGTATTGCTAAAGCTTGTGGTGAAAGTTGTAGAGTAGTTGGAGAGGTAAATTGAACAAAGTTTTTATAATGCTTCTAATTTAACTTTCAATTTACTCTTTTATTAAAGTCAAATTAACATATTATAGTTTGCCGAATTGTTTGATTTAGAAATTGGAAAATATCCTGATGGTTTAGATGCTCTTTACGATCGATTAGCACACTATCTGAGGGAAATTTATTTTAGGTAAATATTAAAGTTTAATAGTTTAAATCATTTGAACAGTTAATTAACAATTCATCAACCAATTAATTAACCAATAAACGATTAATTAAACAATTATTTAGGTATCTTCTAACAGATCCTAAGCAACGCAAAGTTGTTTTATGTGAATCACCAATGATGCCTGTAAGATTAAAAGAATTGATTGCCAAAGTATTATTTGAGAATCTCCAGGCATGTATTTTTTTTTTTTTTTTTTAATAACATTTTTGACGAAATGTTAAAATCTAATTAATCTCAATTAATATAATTTATTCGATTTTTATTACAGGTGCCTTCAATTTCTTTCGCTCCATCTCACATGTTGGCATTATTAACAACTGGTTGCACGACAGGATTAGTAATTGATGTTGGACATTTAGAGACCACTGTACTACCAGTAAATATTAATATTATAATTTTTATAATTTTTATAATTTTTATAGAATTTTCAAGTTTATAATTCTAGTAAATTTCATTATTATTTAGACTTTTACTGCTCGTCCTTTGACTCCTTTTATTCGCACAACTCCTTTGGCGGGACGTGCATTGACAAAGAGACTCAAGGAATTAATATCTACATATGGAAGTATGGTTATACCTCCATCAACAAAAAATGTTCCTGTTCATGCTAAATATTTAACACCCTTTGTATTAGAGGATATTAAAGCGAGATTTATATTTGTAAGTCCTATAATGGTATCAGAAGCATCAATTGGAATTGCAGAAAAAACTTTAGTGGATGACATGGAAGCAAAATATTTATCAGTTAGTTCTGCCACAGATATTTTATATCCTATTACTATAAGCAAACTTGGTCGAGAACGTCAAATGGGAACTTTAATCATACCTGGATGGATTAGAGAACGTTGTGCGGAAGTGCTTTTTGAAGGAGATGAAGATGAATCTAGTGTGGTTGGATGCGCACTAGAATGCTTGTTAAAGGTTAATATAAAAAAATAATTTTTCCTTTAGAGTGTTTAACTTATATTTATTAAAAATAATTGTCTTAATAATTTATAACAATTTAGACTCCTATAAATCTGCGTCGTCCTCTTGCCTCGGCTATTCTCCTTATTGGAGGAACCACTTTGCTTCCAAATTTTCAATCTAGACTTGCGCAAGAAATTTTGCGGGCCATAAACACAGATAAAAGATTTACATCATTACGTGGTTTAGCAGAGCACATTGATTTTTTGGAAGAACATGGAAGTGGTAAAGTTTTTGGAGCGAATTGTAGAGCCTGGATTGGAGGTAATACTTTAATTTTTAATTTTATTTTTAATTTATTTCATTATTTTTAATTTAATTTATTATTTTTAATTGTATTATATTTACTCCATATTTAATATATAATAGGATCTTTAATTGGATCACTCAAATCTACTGTTGTTGAAATTACCAGAGAAAAATATTCTGGACAAGTTCCTGATTGGACAACTTCAAATACTATTACAACTACATAAAAACAATTATAAAAAAAAAAATCATGAACTATTAAGAATTAACTGGAAAAGAATTTTTAATTATATTAATTAATCAATTAATTTCCATCTTTACAATACAAATATTTTGATATTCCTTAATTATATTTATTTTTTTTTTATTATTTAAACAATAAAGAATGACATACAATTTATTTATGAAATAGTAAAATTTTAAATGAAATAAAATTATTCCTGCTGATAAATTTAGGCCGTGTCAACATCCATTTCTGTCCCTATTTCTAAACTTGAATTACTATCTCTCCTTTGTTTCTGACGAACTCGTGGTTCAACATTGTCATTATCTTCTTGTTTCGGTTTTACATCTGAACTACTATAATCATCTTTGTTATGATCGTGATCGCAATGTTCAATTAAATAACGACCTAAAAATTCGCAAGGATTTTGTGGCCTTTTTATTTTGATACCATGTTAGTAATTTTTTGTCACGGATAATTTAAATAAGAAAAAAAAATTATAAATATAAATATATATATATATATATAAATAAGCATATGTTAAGAATATTGTTAAAGAATATTATTGTATCATTTTGGTAAATTACATTATAATAATTGTAAATAGAACAAATAAAATAAAAATACCGTTCTTTGACCATTTTCTTCATTCCAGAAAGCAGGCTAGGCACGATAGTTTTATTAAAATAATCTCTGACTGCTGTTGAATTCTGTGGATGACGCATATTAAGTCTCTGTATGTTATTTCGTTCTTCATCAACTACTTCTCCAAATTGTTCTTCAAATTTGAAAGGTGAAAGCTGGTCTTCGGAAGGCGTTCCACCAGTTGTGTCTATTTCACCTTCCTCTCGTTTTCCAGGAGACCGACTAACAGGATTAAGTAAATCCTATAATTTAAAAAAAGTAATTCTTATCGTTGAACAACGCGATTTTAACTAGATATTTGAATTAATGAACACGAACTTGAATACTTCTGACTGTACTAGTTGCTCCACGATTCTCGGATTCGTTATTACTTGTTTCCGCTGGTGAAGAATCTGTAAACATTGTATTATCGTATTCGGCAGCCCGGTGCATAGGTTTGATTATTTATATTTTTTTTTTAATATTGTATAATACTAGTAAGAACTGGAAATTTTATTAAATTTCGCGATTTATTTTTTTTTTTGAAGTTTATAAATTACATAACCTGTAAGGTACATAATAATAGGTACCTATATTTTCTGTCATACACAAATTGATTCTAAAGGGATAAAAAAAATCTTATCAAAAAAAAAAAAACGATTTGCAATGAAACTTTGCGCGACGAGAAATAATACAAATGTTTTCCTCAGTTCGACTTTTAAAAATGCCATTGCGACTTTGCAAGGCCGAAATATTACAGAATAACGGGAAATTTCAAACTTTATTACATGTTCGAAATGTCCGATGTTATTATCCTTTAAAAATATTTCCATTTAATAGTTATTCAACTTTTAAAAACGAAACTATAAAATCTAATTCTAAAGTAAAGAATGAAGTCTTTAGAGATCCTGTCGGCTCACCTCAATCAAATATAACAGAAAAGATTGGTATGATTGATGTTTCAGCACATCGACCCATATCTTCGTTTCGAAATTCAATAATAATATTCAAAGATACTATTCGAAATTCTATCATAATAACCAAATTACGCGAACAACCATTAGTTAAAAGAATAAGAAACACAAATTTTCAAGATATTATTCAACGTGTACTCGTCAGGGTTTCCCGATTCTTAAACGAAATTACTGGATATTCTGCAGTGGAAAAAATGAAAGAACAGGTGGCGCAACAAGGTAACAGAAAATAAGGAATTAAATAAAATTAAAAAATTAAAATATAATTTATATAATTTCAAATTTTTCCCTTTTTCCCTTTTTTTTTTTTTAACAGAAAATGATTTTAAAGCCACACGAAAACGTCAGGCGGAAGCAAAAATTGCCTACGAGAAGGCAATTGACGCACGATCCAATACTCAACGCGAAATTAATGGAATACTTCAACGTAAAACCCAATGGTCAGGTGACGATGTGGCCAGGATTACTCAACTTTATAAAGATGAACATGAAAATATGCAAAAGGAAATTTCTGCGAAGGAAGAATTCACTAAATGTGAAAGACAAGTTGAACAAGAATTTACGGATCTAAGTAAGTCAATGATGGTACGATATCATGAGGAACAACTTTGGAGTGATAAAATTCGTAGTGCATCTAATATTCTTGCAAGTTCTATAGTAATATTTAATGTAATATTCTTTTTGGGAATGCAAACATTTGTTGAATCAAGGAGAAGAAAGAAATTAGTTGATAGATTTGAGAGTTTACTTATTAAACAAACACAAGAAAGAGATGAAAAATTAGATAACGGAATTATTCAACCATCAACGAAAAATTTTGAAATATTAAATAAGAAAATGGATAACTTATTACAAATTTCAACGACGGGTTTACATGATAATTTATCAATGGTGGAAGGATCAACGAGTAGTGATAATAATTATAATAATAATAATTCAGAGTTACCAATGACAGAAGAAGAACTTAAATCTTTTATGGATGATTTTGAAAAACCTTTAGATGATAATCAACGTACAAAAAAACCAATTGAACTAACTAGAGATGAATTTGACAATATTATACTTATATCAACTCTCTTAGGGGCATCTATAGGATTACTTATTGGTGTTATGGCAAATGAAATATTCAATAGATGACACACTAATAATAATAATAATAATAATTATAATTTCAAATTTATTTAATTATTCAATTATTTCAATTATTCAAATTATTTAATTATTTCAATTATTCAAATTATTCAAATTATTCAATTATTTCAATTATTCAAATATTTCAATTATTTCAATTATTCCATAATTGTTGCATTTCTTTCATATCTTGATCATTCCATTGAATAATCCAATCATTCACTTCATCTCCTCTAAGATTTTCTTTTTCTCTTTTTTCCTTTATTTTTATCAAATGATCTCTCACCATTTTTAATCGTTTTATCGCAATATTTTGATTAATATCTTGATTAATATCTGATGTTTCATTTACTTTAACTAATTCATCCTTTGCTGCTTTGATTAATTTTTTTAAAAATAATGGTGATCCATATACATCATCTGTATATCTTGTTTTATTTAGATATGTTATTATATCCGAAGATTCCATGAAATCATTTAAATCTTGAGTTTCTAATTCCATTTGTAAATTATTTAAATAATTATTATTATTAGAAAATAGTTCCTCATTGGAATCATAAATTTCAATGGTGTAAAAATTAGAATTTAGAAAACCTAAAACTTTATCACCATCATTTTTTTCCTGTTCTTGATGTGAATTTTTCGAAAAGATATTTTCGTTATGTTTGTTAGATTTGTCATAATTGTAATGAAAAGGATGATTATCATTATTATTATCATTATTATTATTATCAAAATAGTTATCCAAGTTTTTCCATTTGTGGTATTCCTGGTCATCAAACTTCAAATTTTCATACAATCCTTGAAATTCTTGTTGAGAACTTAATTCAATTTTTTGTTTTATACTTCCACTTCCTTCATATGTATTCAATAATGCAGCATTTGATGTACGTGAATAAAGTGAAGAAGAATTAGCCTTTGAACTATTATCAACATTATTCATTAGACTAGACAATTCGGTTGTCGCATTAATTCCACTAATAGGAAGAACATCATCTAGTAATTTGGTTGCAGATAATCCCACTCTTGTCAAAAATTTGCCCTTATTATTATTATTTAAAGTTGCCATATCCTGTGTTAAAATATTTTTCCTTTTTCCTTCGTTATTTGACATTTTTATTATTGTAAAAAAAAAAAAAAAAATTAACTACGTATTATTGTGCCACATCTTGTATAAATAAATATTATTGGGTCAAAAAGTGTGATATGAAAATATCGAAAATTATGTTTCTACCTCGAACAATCAAAAGATCTTCTACGATTCCTTCTACTCCTAAACAAAACAAAAAGTCCAAAACCAATATTTGGCCCAATATAAACATCGTAAATGATTCTACTCAAATTCCGACAAATTTATCAAACCATTCGCAAAAAATCGAACAAATTTTTGATGCACAAAATATACCAAAAGAGATAGATTATTCAAAAGGGAACATAATTGATGAATCAAAGATTTCTCCCAATAAAAAACTTTATTCATCTGAACAAGTAATTGTTTTACCAGAAACACATAATAACTCATCTAATCAAACTATTTATCCTCATAAAAGTATTGAAAACAGATTCAACATAACAGAAAATCTTCCGATAGAAAATGTGGAAAATGTAGAAAATGTAGAAAATGTGGAAAATGTAAAAAATGTGGAAAATGTAAAAAATGTGGAAAATGTAAAAAATGTGGAAAATGTACAAAATGTGCAAAATGTGCAAAATGTACAAGAAAATGCGGTTGAATATGATACCATTAAAGAATTTAGTTATCAACAACGTATACCTTTAAGTGGAGAACCAGTCTGCGTTATTTGGTATTATTTAAATTATATTCTTATTGGGTAATCTGTAATCAAAAATGTTATATTTTAAATTTTTTTTTTTACTAACAATTTCATTTATAGTGGTAAATATGGTGAATATATTTGTGATCAAACGGAAAATGATGTTTGTAGCATAGAATGTAAAAGAAAAGATATCGAAAAAATGAAAATTCCATATTCATTATCAAATAACAATAACAATAACAAATCTAATAAGAATTTAGAAATAAAAAATGTATCCTTGAAGAATGCGACTCAAACGCATTTTCAAATTTGTCCTAATATATTTCATGCTCAACTTACTGCATATGTTCCATATCCTGAAATCAGTCAAATGTCAGAAACCCAAGTACAAAATTTATTAAAAAAAAATCGAATAATAATTCATGGTAAAAATATTCCAAGACCTATTACAAGTTTTGAATATTGTCATTTACCACCAAGAATGATTGATAATTTAAAAAATTTAGAATATTTTCAACCAACTTCAATACAAATGCAAGTTATTCCTACTTCATTAGTTGGACGTGATATATTGGCAAATGCTCAAACTGGATCAGGAAAAACTGTGGCATTCTTAATTCCAATAATTTTACATACTTGGTCTTTATCACAATTTAATGGAAATGATGGAAAAGGAAGTGGTCCTTATGCATTAATTATTGCACCAACTAGAGAATTATGTATTCAAATTGAAGATCAAACCAAGAAATTAATAAAAGGTTTAATTAATATGAAAACTGCACTTTTAATTGGAGGATTTCCTATTCCTAATCAAGTTTATCGTCTTGAACAAGGAGTACAAATAGTTATTGCTACACCTGGAAGATTTATTGATATAATTAATAATTATCCAAAACTTAATATTAATAATATTCATATGGTTGTAATTGATGAAGTAGATATGATGTTTAAAGTTGGATTTATGAATCAAGTTAAAGAAATATTAGAAAAAACTACTATTTTTTCTTCGGCAAGTGGATATCGTCAACAAATTCTTATGTTTTCTGCTACAATTCCTGAAAATGTAGAGAAGTTAGCAAATTCCATACTTAAAGATTATATAAGAATTTCAATAGGAAATCAAATTGATGATATTAATTCAAATTTAATTAAAGAAAATAACTCTTTACCTAACATTCCTATTAAACAAACAATACTTTGGGTAGAGAATAAATCCAAAAAAAAACAATTATTTTCACTTTTAAATGATCCAAAATATTATTCACCACCTATAATTATATTTGTAGAATCTAAAATGGGAGCAGATTTATTATCTAAAGCAATTGAAAAAAAGTGTAATACAGTAACTTTAAGTTTACATAGTGATAAATCACAGGAAGAGAGGAATCAAATCCTTCAATCTTTTATAAATGGAGAAATTGAAATTCTTGTAGCTACGGAAATTATTAGTCGAGGATTAAATTTAACTAATGTTAACATGATAATAAATTTTGATATGGCTTCATCAGTTAACGAATATGTTCATCAAGTTGGTCGTGCCGATGATCGAGGTTGGGCAATTACATTTATTAACGAGGTATGAAGTTAAAGTAATTATATAATAAAATTAATAAATTCTAAAAATATAATCATTAATTAATCTTTAATTAATCTTTAATTAATCTTTAATTAATGAATTATATTTAGGATAGTAAAAATCTATTTAAAGAATTTGTCACATTATTAAAAGCACAACCATCCGGTCGTATTACTCCTTTACCATCGAAATTATTAAATCATGGATTCACTTTATCTGGAAATACAAAAAGCAGATAATAAAAATTTCTAATTCATTTTTTTTTTTATTTTTATTACTTTTTATTATAAATATATTGGAAATCTGATATACTTGATTATAATATAATATATAACATAATACAGTATATAACATAATATAATGTAATATAATAAATTTGATAGAAATAATAGTAAAAAAAATAAGAATCTAATTTACAAATCACCAACAAGTACAAGTTTTCAATTATTTTCAACTATTTTTTTTATTATTACAAGTTTTTTCGAATAAAATTAAATGGATCAGAAATTCTAGAATATTAAAGATTTATCCTTGATTTCCTTCTGCGGGCTTTAAAGGTAGCAAACTACCAAATAGGAAATGTTGAACAATTGGAAATTTTTGAAGTACGTCAGCCACATACATTTTTAACAATCCAGAATTGACTTTGGTCCAATTTGGAACTCCTGTAATATCGTGTAATAAAGGAGAATGTTCGTGAAATGGTCCTTTTTTAACCTAATCAAAAGAGATTAAAAATTTGAATATTTTTTTAAGACAAATTCATGGATTAAGAAGACAATAAGAAAGATAACAAGATAACAAGAAGATAGCAATATTTAAAAAATTTAAAAATTTAATTTAAACCTCATGAATGTATTTAATACATCCAAAATATATATAATCGTCGGAATAAATGTTCACCAATTCTTCCAATAATATAGAGTTAGGCTTTAAATGCTTATGATCTGGAAGAAAATTAATTCTATTTCAATATTTCAAAATATTTAAATATTTATTTATATCTATTTTTTTTTTCAAAATCAAAAAAAAAAAAAAAAAATAGTAAATTATCCAAAACCTCTTAATTGAGCACTTCCCCAATAATATGAAAGGAATTGATGATCATCTAAACCCCAAACACCGTGACTACCCGCTGGTTCAAGCATATAAACACGTTGTAATCGCCTCACTAGATCTAAATATCTAGTAAGGTAATAATTAGAGAGGATGATAACAATAATAATTAGAAATAATAATAATAATAATAATAATAATAATAATAATAATAATTAGAAATAATAATGAAAACTCACTTTGTGAATATTCTTAATATCAATGCCGCATAATCTTGTTCTTCAGATATACCTATCAAACGAAGACAACATAACCACGCGACGAAATTCAATTCATGCCCACTACCATAATCAATACGTGTACCATTCCCAAAACTTCCAGTAAAATATGGTACTAGTTCAATGATAGCTTTATGATATTGAGGTGGAAGAAATTCTTGATGAATGATATAAGCATTCTAAATGATGAAAATTAAAAAAGAAACTTAATAAAATAAATAAATTAATAAAAGAAATTTAAGAAATTTCTTATTTTTTTTCTTTAAACGTACATTTTCTAAGCGAGAAATCCAATCTCTAAAGGCCTTATTGCCAAATCTTTGAGGTGTAGGTAGAGGTGGAATTTGATCGATCCAAGACAACATAACGTCCAAGGCATTGATTACTTTTTGTGTAAACTATACTTATACCAAAAAAAAAATGAATTACAGCTATGAAAAAAAAGAAATAAATATAATTACAAGATCATTATGAATTATTACAATTACTACCTCAGATATATAGACAGGATCCGAGATCTTTTTATTAATAATACTTTCATTATTCTTTTCAATGAATAACATTAAACGCGAAAAAGATTCTGAATTTATCCATTCCGTGACATCTTGTTGATCATTAATTTGTTTTGTGGGTTTGACGAAAGTATGGTCAGTTAAATTTATAAAGGTTGTAGGTTTGTCGGTCATTATTAAGGATTATAAAAATGGGAATTTGACATTGTATCCGAATTTATCCCAACTATGGATAAACACGTGGAGGTATCAAATTATTTAAATTATATAATTTATACTATTTATACTATTTATACTGTAATTTTTTTTAAAAATGACCACATTATTGTTGGATCGCATTCTCAAATTAAAAGATCCTTTAGGTTTTGTAATTATAAAAGATACAATATTGCAATCGGGTTATTTAATAACAAAAGAATTTGTCAAAGGAATTACAAAGAATGAGAAAAATAATGTTATCTTTCTATGTGTTGAGTCCTCTCCTCAAAGTTTCCTTGAAGGAATAAAAAATCAACAAAAGTAAATATTTAAACGATATCTTTTTTTTTAATAAAAATTTAATAATAAAGTTTTATTTTTTTTAAAAAAAAAAAAATAAATAAATAATATAATATAGGATCATAATTCTGGATGCATATTCTCAAATAGGTGGATATGAAAAATTTGATAAAGAGAATGAATCAAAACTTAATTCAAATATATATATATTAGAGAGTATAGATATATCCAAAATTGCTACTCTTATTCAAGAACTTTGTAATAAATGTGAGAATTTGTTATTATATTTTTTCATTAATTTCATTAATTTATTTATTTATAAATTTTATTAATCATTAATTTATTAATTTTATTAATTTCTTATTTCATTAAATTTCATTTTAAAAGTAACAAATTCTAATATTTCATTGATTATTGAATCACTGACTCCTTTACTTTTAACTTCCGTATCAAACACATTAAAATTTTTAAAGAAAATGACAAAGATTTTATTATCCTCAGGTATTTATTTATTTATTAGTTTTATATCTGCTGAATTATATTATGAATAAAAAATTATTTAATTTTTATTATTATTATTATTTATTAATTTATTATTATTAATTTATTATTATTAATTTTATTTTTCTTACAAGTTAATAGAAGAAAGCAATAAAAATAATCGAATAATAACATTATATCATTCCGATATTCCAACTTATCCTACAAATGGAACAGTTGGATTATTAAATATTAATAACACACTACTTCAACAATTATCAACGACAGCGATAATTATTAAAAATATTGAACAAAGTCGTAAAATGTCATCTTCTCTTAAAGATGAGAGAATTGTGAATATTTATAATAATATACCTGATAGTGGAATATGTATAATAGAATACAGAAAAAAATCTGGGAAAATTATTTATGAGGTAATTTATTACATTATAGACTAATAATAGATGATAATAATAGATAATTATAATAATAATAACGATTACTAAATATTACATTAAATATTACATTGAATATTTTAGACGAATGCATATTATGTAGATGAATCTACAGGTGATCTTAAAATTCAACCCGTAAATGAAATAAACGAGGAATCAAAATTGGAGAATACGGTAAAATGGAAATCTTTAAATATATATATTTATTTATTTATTTATATTCCACACAAGCCTATTTATATATTTTATATGTTTTTATATGTTTAGCTTGATCCGACAACAGCAAATTTATTATTTAATCTATCATTAACTGAAGAACAGAAAAAAGAAAAAAATAAAGTTATTTTACCACATGTCAAGATACAAGGTAAATGTCAATTTTTTTTTGTGTGTGACATTTGACATTATTTGTGAACTTAATAACTATAAAAATAATAATAATTATAATAACAACAACAATAATAATTAAAATAATAACAATAATAATAATAATAATAATAATAATAATTATAATTATAATAATTATAAATTGCAACAGATCAATATGAAACAAATAACCCTCTTACTTCCCTAACTTCTACTTCTTCTACTTCTGGTACTGGGACAATCTATTACGAACCAGATGATGCCGATGATATTGATGAAGAAGATCCTGACGAAGATTTAAATATTTAAATATTTAAAATTTTATTTAAAATTTTGAAATAAATAATTGAATAAAAATGTGACTATGATCTACAAGGAAATTCTTTTATCAGAAGGCAGAAATATCCTTTTTCCATTAAATCCTCGTTCCGAACTAAATGCTTCACATTTTAATAATTCCATTTCAATTTGATCATTATTCACATTTAATCTCAGAATAGCTTTTGTTACGAATAGGGATAAATATTGATTTCCTGTATTATCATCTAATTTCATTAAAGGTGCTAACTTTTCAACATTCGTTAATGCATCTGAAGTGACTTTTGCTCCATCAATTTCAAATGCACACATTTCCGTTGATTGTATTATCATATTAATTTTCTCAGATACTTTAATTGATTTAGTAATATTTTTAAGTTTCTTTAAATCAAGTTCTGATAAAACTAATTCAAAAGTTAGACGAATTGATGATGATTTCCTTAATAAAGGAGATGTAGTATTAATATATGATGATGATAATGGAATATCATAATGACACAAAAGATATATATTATGAACTTCTACCAATAAAACATATACTGTTCCTTCTTTATTTTTATACATTATACGTCTACTTGTTTCATCTTTCATTGTTTCATTTGTTATTGTTGTTGTTCGATCATTATTATCATTATCATTTTCATTTTCATTTAATATTTCTCCATTATTATTATTATTATTGTTATTATTACTAGTTTTATCTAATAATACAACATTTGCCGGTCTAATATCCTTTAAACGAAATAATATTTCATTTTTATCACAATCATCTTTAGAAAATCCATTCACAGTTATAGTTGATGCTAACAATTTGTCGGTTAATCCTTTTAAATGATAAAATCTTGCATCTTTAAGTAAATTTTGTCTGTGAACTTCATCTTTAATTCCAATTTCATATCCTTGAAGGTATCTTAAAATATCCGCAAAAAGTTCGGGATCTCGTTCAAGTATTGGAGGTGGTAATGACGGAAATTGGGGAATCATTGGTTCACCAAGTATTGGTTCCCAACCGTATCCAAATCCTATAAATAATTTTGTATAATTTTATAATTTTAATTTTAAGTAATTTAATCTATAATTTAATATGTAATTTAATTTATCTAAAACTAACCGAAAGACGTGAAAAAATTCGGTGCATCCCGTTTTTCTAAGACTTCCCGTTCAACGCGAAATACTTTTCCACCAACATTTACAATATAATTTGTACGTAATTGTTCTTTTAATTTTGGTAATCTATAATATTGTGCATCGGAATAAAGATCCGTATAATGAACCTACTTGTTTAAAATAATTTTAAAAAAAATTAAATTTGGAATAATTTTTTTTATCTTATAAAATACTATTAAACACTAATCCAAATTTTATATATAATACCTCATCACGAGGTGTCACGTAATATCCCTGTAAATGCTTAACCTATAAAAAGTTTCAAATTTTAATTTTATCGAAAAATATATATATATATATATATACGTATATATTTTTGATAAAACTCGAGATTTTTATTTTCATCACTCACGATATCTGAAAATATTGTGGGATCCCTATCGATAACTAAAGTTTTTGTTACAGATTCTTCGAGAAGCGAGTTAAATGCATCGGTAAAATAATTAGGACTATCAGAATATAAAGAACTAGCAGATAACTTAAAAGTGCTTCCGCGTACTATCAAAGAATAGTAACCAGCAGGAGGAGGACAACTCTTTTGTGACATTGCTCGTTCCAGATAACAAACAAGCCTAACCCAACACCAACGCGTGTAACAGATTTTTTTTCATATTCATTATTTTTATTATTTGCAATCTAGATATTCATAATTTCACGTGATAAAAGGTAACACCGTGCAACTTGTATAAAAAAAAATGTATGCGACGTTAACGTACGTAATCGAATTCATTATTTTTATTTTTGATTCATTCATCTAAAATGTCTGATGAAGATATTGACGAAATTGAAAATCTTGAACCTACCTTGCAAAATGTGTTAGACCAGAAATCTCTACATTGGATTTTCGTTGGTGGAAAGGGTGGTGTTGGTAAAAAATTCATTTCCTTTTTTTTTTTTAGATAAGTTTATGACAACTTTAGTTATGGAAATCAAAAAAATGATAAATTATTGTCATTAAAAAAAAATTTTAGGTAAAACAACGACATCATGTTCCCTTGCAGTTCAGTTATGCAAAGTGAGGGAATCTGTTTTATTAATATCGACAGATCCAGCACATAATTTGAGTGATGCATTTGGACAAAAATTTAGTAAAGAGGCGACGCTAGTAGAAGGATTTACAAATTTGTTTGCTATGGTATAGTATAATTTACTATAATTTTTACAGTTATAGAATAATAATTTATTTAATAATGTATTTAATATAATTATTTTAATAATATATTTAATATAATTATTTAATAATATTATTTTTCTCATAATATTAGGAAATTGATCCAACATCATCAATCCAAGAAATGTTAGATCAATGTAATTTTTATTCAATAAATTTATTTTTGTTTTTGTTTTTGTTTTTGTTTTATAATAATTTGAAATATTTTAATATTTTAAAATTATCTTTATTTAATATTTTTAGCTGAACAACAAGGAGGAGGAGCAGCTATGGGAGCTATGATGCAAGATCTTGCATTTGCTATTCCTGGAGTTGATGAAGCGATGGGATTCGCTGAAGTCATGAAGTAAAAATATTTATTTATTTATTTATTTATTCTCTTTTTGATAAATTTTTGATAAATTTTGATAAATATTTATCTATTTATCATTATTAGACAAGTAAAAACAATGGAATATTCGGTTATCATCTTTGATACCGCGCCCACTGGTCACACGTTACGATTTTTAAGTTTTCCTAGTGTATTGGAAAAAGCATTAGTCAAAATTTCGCAATTGAGTGGAAGATTTGGACCAATGTTACAACAAGTAAGAAAAAAAAAAGAACAATAAATATTTAACAGAATATTTTACTGAAATAATTGAGAGTTTAAAATTAATTGAATAATATATTTATAGATGTCAGGTATGATGGGACTTAATTCTAATCAAGAAGATATGTTTGGGAAACTTGAAGGAATGCGAGCTATAATTACTGAAGTTAATAATCAATTCAAAGATCCCGTAAGAATTTTCTAACTTGTCAATAAATGAAAGGCAATTTATATCCCCACAAATATCAAGTGCGAAGAAAAAAAAAAATTTTTTTTTTTTTGAAAATCCAAAATTTATTATTATTATTATTATTCTCTTTTGATGTAGGATAAAACAACATTTATTTGTGTGTGTATTTCCGAATTCTTATCACTTTACGAAACAGAACGTATGATTCAAGAATTGACTTCATATCACATTGATACTCATAACATTGTGGTAAATCAATTATTATTTCCAAAAAAGGGTAAATATTTATATGTACATATATATATTCTATATATTTATATATTTAAAAATTAATATTTGTAAAATTAATATATCTTTAGGTTCTAATTGTGAACAATGTTGTGTTAGACATAAGATGCAACAAAAATATTTGGATCAAATTTATGATTTATATGAAGATTTTCATATTATACTAATGCCACTTTTAACAAAAGAAGTACGTGGAACAAAAGATATAAATGAATTTTCAGAAATGTTAGTAAAACCATTTGAACCACCAGATGATTCAATGATGGATGATAGTCAATGAAATAATAGAATGAAAAGATGATGATTATTCTTCTTTACACAAGTAATTTATTATTTTTATTATTTTTATTATTTTTATTATTTTTATTATTCTTATTATTCTTATTATTATTGGATGATAACCAAGATAATACATAGTATGTTTATTGTAATTTAGTATTTTTATTTGTTTCCTATAACATAGAGAATTAATTGAAATATACTAATAAGAATTATTTATTTCTTTTCTTTAAATATTTTAAATATGTAATAATTAATTGTCCTCTTCATTAATCAAAAAAGATAATAATTATTTATTCAACTTTTTTTTGCATCAAAAATAACTGTTATCTGTTAAATATTGTTAATTGGTTAATTTCAACATTTACAATTTTTTTAAAATTCCTAAAATTCCTGATTATTTTATAAATAATTAACCAAAATTGTTTATTAAACATTCTTCAAAAAAAAAAAAATTTGTTTTTGAGAAATTAAAGTTATATAGAGATATAGATATCAAGTGTTGAATGTTTTAAAAAAAAAATTTAGTTGTTCATTAATCATTTTCTATATACCTCCAACTTCAAAAAAAAAATAAAATAAAATAAAATAAAATTAGTAAAAAAAAATTTTTGTTTTTTAGCTAAGAAAAATAAAGAAATAATAATAATAATTTTTTTCATCTCCTTCAACCAATGTACCAACAATAATCATATTTATAAAATTTGCTAAAATTACATTTATCAAAAGGTGAAAGCATTTTTTGATATACATTTTTTTTATAGAAATAAGACAAAATTATTTTGTAATTGTTTCTTTTCTTGTGTTTGGGACAAAATTAAATTGTTTCTTTTCTTTGTTATTAAATCATTTGTGATTATTTCTTTTCTTGTACCTGGGAGGAAGTTTGAGAAAGAATCTTTTCTAATTTTAATGCATCGGGTCTTTCATCACGTCCAGGACCTAATTAATTAAATTAATCATGAACATTAATTATTCAAATTTATATATTTTGTTATTTTCATTATATTTTATTATATTTAATTATATTTAATTATATTTACCAGTTTGTTCCCATGGAGATGACGCTCCTTCGAAATTTCTAAAGGCTTGAGTCAATTCTAATGGTTCAGCCACGACACGTTTCTTTTCATCATCATATCTAACTTCAACATATCCCGTCAATGGGAAATCTTTTCTTAATGGATATCCTTCAAATCCATAATCTGTTAAAATTCTTCTCAAATCCGGATGATCGGTGAAAAATATACCGTACATATCATATGCTTCCCTTTCAAACCAATTAGCTCCATTAAATAAACTAACTATTGAAGGTACTGGTGATGCTTCATCGGCATAAGTTTTTACTCGAATTCGAGCATTATATCGAAGACTTAACATATTATAAACTACTTCAAAACGTTTTGATCTTGAAGGATAATCCACTCCACAAATATCTTGAACCTGTTTAAATTGTGATCCTGTATGATCTCGAAGAAATGTCATTACTGGAATTATAGCGCCTGATGCAACATATAATGTTAATTCATCTTTATAGACTGAATATTGTTGTATAAATTTGGGAAGCATTGAAAGGAGATGTTTGCCATATTCATGAAGCGATTCATTACTAGTAACTTTATTAGGTTTTTCTTCTGTTTTTTTTTTTTTTTTTTTTTTGAAATTTTTAATTTTTAATTTTAATTATAATAAAATTTTCTCGTCAATTTTATGTTAATTTGATATTAATTTAATGTCAATTTTATAAAATTTAAATTTAATTTTATAATTTAATTACCTTGCCTATTAATAGGAGTTGAATGAAACCTAGAAATAAGACTTGAACCATAAAATCTACAAATATTACTTTTCGTGACCTGAAATGCTGATATAAATTTGAATAATTTATAATAATATAATTTTAATATAAAATAATCGTCAATTGAAACAATATTAAATTTAATTTTTGCAAAATAAATTACCTTTACGGCTCAATGATCTTTGTAAGCTAGCAAAATGGGAAGAAACTGCTAAAGTCATTATTGCAAACTCCCAGAGATAAAAAAATCTAAATTATGCTTATTTATAAACAACTCTCGATATAGTAACGTGCAGACATGTGGCAATGCAAATACATTTTCTGATACGTGGCTTTGTGTCGTACAATTCATATATTAATATAACATTTTAAAATTTTTTTTTTGCTTTAAAGAAAAAAAAAAAATTTCATTTATATGTTTATTTTTTTTTCTCGTTTTAAACTATATTCTAAAATATTGTTTTCTACAAATATATATATTATACATATTACACGCAAGTTGTCCTAAAATATATATATATATATATATAATATAATGTAATATAATATAATATATAATAAAGAAGAATTATTATTATTATTAAATATGACCGATAAAACCGTCGTTAATTTATATAAAAGTGATACAGTATATAAAATAGATCATAAGAAGTAGTTGTCAACATTAATAAAATTAATTTGATAAATTAATCTTGTTTTCTGTGGATTGACAGATTATTTTTTTTTTTTAATCATCTCGATTTGTTTTTTGATTCTTTTTTTTTCAAAACAGAAAAACGGTTACCTTTAATTTCCAAAGTATTGTCGTAATCTTATTTATTATTTATACACTTAAAATTGAAAAAAAAAAATAGAAAATGGATTTAATAACATTAACAAAAAAAAAAAATCAAAATCAATTAATCCATTTCCAAAATAGAAGAAATCAGAACTTCTTAGAGATATGAAAATTTTCATTTGATTTAATATTAATAAATCTCAAGAGAAATAGATCATCATATTCTTTCTTTAGACATTTAGACATTAGAAGAACATTCAAAAGATTCAATTTTTTTTTTCTTACCTTAAAATAAATATTTATTTTAGTATAAGTGAGTATAAGTGAGTATTATCGTAACAATTAATCTAATTATGCATTATTTAAATTAAAAAAAAAAAAAAAAAAAAAAAAAAAAAAAAAATATGATCAATATATCAATATATGATAGATATATAGATATATAGATATATGTATTAAGATATATATTATAATATATATTATTTTACGTTAACATATTGGTGATAAAAAATATTGATAAAAATAGATGATATGATAAATATTAAAAATCATTTCACACGGTTTTTTTTCACACTTTTTTTTTGTTATCCTTTTTTTTTGTTATCCTTTTTTTTTCCAGTATCGTTTCTATTTTTCAAAGTGTGAAAAAAACTACATAACTTTTTTAATTCTGCTTTCTATCATATATAAGAACGATAAAAATGATGAATTTGCAAAATATCGAGATTCTTGAAACAGAAAATGCAACTTCTCGTGACGCGTATCATTCTATTGACATTGAAGAGCAAGACGCGACTTTTTTGCCTACTTCCGAGTCCTTCGATTCTATCCAACAAATAGAAGAATCAGATGATGCTGATAAATCAAATTCAATTGAGAATGCCTCAATCATGGAAACTGTCTGTGCAAAATTTCATCATTTCTAAATTATATTACTATTATTATTATTATTTTTCTGATTCCGATTTTCGTACGTGTTTATAGATAATCGACCAATCTATTATCACTCCATCTGAAAAGAAAAATAATGCCGAATTTTTCTGTGGCAGGGGATCCAAAACACCTGATCGATATATGAAAATTAGAAACTTTATTTTAAATGCATGGATTGCCAATCAACCTAAATATCTATCCAAGACTAGCGTTAGATCTGGACTTAAGGTATATTATATCTTTAGGATCGACCATCGTCATCGTCGTCATCATCGTCATCATCCATCATCCATCACTTTCTTATTTCAATCATTTCAATTTCTGGAACTTCAATCTACACTTATAAATGATATAAATGATATAAATGATTTATATATATATATATATATAATATATATGATATATGTGATATATAGGATTGTGGGGATGTAAATGCTATAGGAAGAGTTCATGCATATTTGGAATCAATTGGTGCAATAAATGTCGGTGAAGGTGTGTTAAGAAAAAGACCACGTGTTGTTAAAAGGAAAGCTTTAGATTCTTCTACAAACTCTAATGGAAAAAAGAAGGCAAAAAAAGCAAATGAAGATGAAAATTGGACTCTCAACGGGTTAGCATTAATAATATTATTAATAAAATATTTAATTCAAAAGAATATTAATTTAAAGATAAATATATATATCTCTCTTTTTTTATATTTTTATTGATCTAATAAAGACGTGGAAAAAAAGTTCGAAATGGAGATGATGATTGGTATAAAATCAAAACTTTTATAGAATTTATGTGTTTGTTTTTAATAAATCTGAATTTAATTTACCCTTAAACATTGTTCAAGGAATGATCAAGATAATGATGAAGCGGCAGGTATGTATTCCCTCTTTTTATAATATTTAATGTATTTAATGTAATTAAATGTTTTTATAATATCTATAGGCGATGGACCGATTCGTCGAAGCAAACGAACTCGCGTTAACAAAAAAGGAAACATCAATTATAATGAAATATCCTTTCAATTTTTGAATTGATTTTTTTTTTTTTTTTTTTTTTTGAAAGATAAGTATATATATAAATATATATATATATAATAATAATAATAATTTCCTTGACCTATGACAATACGATGTTTTAGCTTATGATATGGTTGGTCCATATGATCCATTCCGATTAGTACCTCCACTCAACTATACATCAAGAAATCCCGCACCTTTTCGTGTTTCAGTTTCCGCGAACGTTATGGTACATTTTATATTATAATTTATATTGAAATTTATTTTGAAATTTATATTGAAATCTATGATCCAATAATTAACGAATACTTTAGCTCGTCATGGATTTTCACGCTCATTTGGCACATACGGAAATAATTGGTTTACTTGGTGGTCATTTCTATCCTGAACAAGAAAGCATGGAAGTAACTTTCGTATACCCTTGTAAGAGTGCAAGCACAGGATTTCAGGTATTATAGATTCTATATTTTATCATTTTATCATATAAATATATTTTGGAGTTTTTTTTTTTTTGATTAATAAATGAGATTAAACATTAATTTTTTAAAATTTAGTGTGAAATGGATCCTGCCTCGGAAGTTGCTGCTAGAGAAGTATTCGCCGAGAAAGGTCTAGAATTTGTTGGATGGTATCATTCTCACCCTACATTTGATCCTCAGCCTTCAATTCGAGATATTGAAAACCAAACTCAGTATCAGGTACATATTATCGACATTATTGATGTTATTGAAAGTAATTATACACGATTTAATTTTTGATTTGTTAACAAATAATGAATAATAATAATTAATTATGTAATGGATAATTAATTATATAATGTATAATAATTTAATAATGTATAATATAATATCATATAATATAATATAATATAATATAATATAATATAATATAATATAATATAATATTAAATGATAAATAATCAAATAATGACGACAAACAAAGGAAATGTGGCGAAGAGAAGACGGTTTAGAGCCTTTTATCGGTGTTATTGTTACACCATACGATGAAGAACATGAATCTAATGTATCCAGATTTCAATTCTGGGTGAGTGGATCAAACTACGACTTATCGGGACAATTCAGTAAGTGTTCTTTAAAAATAAAATAAAAGTGATATCTTTAATTTCTTTTAATTTTTAATTTTTGTCTCATATTTTCTTTTATATTTTATATATATATATATATATATATTTTATATTTATATTTATTTTTATTTAAATTAGGGACGCCTTATTCATGTCAACATTCAGTAACACCAAGTGAAACTTTACCAGAAGAAATGTTCTCGCAGCTGTCCGGATTAGTTGAAGAGTATCAAAATTATGACCAGTAAGTCAATTTATTATTATATATATTATTATTATTATTATTATTATTATTGTAATATATAAAGTTCAACAATGGAAGAAATTGTTCTATTGTAAACAATGCATCTATTTGACTAATAACAATAAACTTTTTGTTTTTTCATAATTAAAGGCGAGTTGATATGACAGAATCATTTAGAGATGATGATGATATTTCGAAGCTTGATAAATTGATGGAATCATTATCTTCACATATATCTGTCTCTTCATCCGCAACCGAGGAATTTATTTTACGGGTTAAGGAACTTATGAATACCGATTTTTTACCAAAAGAGAAAAGTCATGTGAAAATTAATGCAAAAAGTAATGCGGAATGTCATAACAATTTTGGTGATTCAACAATTTCAAAAGAAAAGAAAGAAAATGAATGAATTATTATTTTATTGGATTATTATTATTATTATTTTACTGGATTATACTGAATAATTATTATTTACCGGATTATATGTGGTGGGATAAAATTTCATAATAATTTGTTACTTTTATTTTCTCATTTGAATCTCGTTTTTTTTTAATATTAGCCAGATCTTTGGGGTTTGTGTTGCTTCTAATGGTTTAAATGTATCAAAACTTTAAACCTTTTATTCCTCCGTCACATGACAAAAACAGTTTTTTTTTTTTCAGCCCAATCCCCCAAAAGTCAACGTGCGTACAATAATATCCAAATTTAATATCCTTCCTTTAATAATTTTTAATAATTTTAATGATTGAAGTTGACATATTTTGACATATTTTTTTTATAAACTCTGGTTTTTTTTTCTCTCTTTCTCTCTTCATTGATCATTTGTTGAAATTTACATCGATTTTTTTTTTTTGGTGTTCGAACATTTATTAGTGTGTTCGATTACTCGTTTTGCATATTTGCACGACTTAACGATACAATCAAGTAATACATCTATAGTAATATAATTTATCTTTTGCTATTAAGAAAAAAGAAAATATTTGTTTTACAACCAACGAAGGTTTCGAAACTCTTTTTTTGCAGTACAAGTAATATAAAAATTATTGTAAATCAATAATTATCTTTGTGAATCCAACTTTTATTTCCCCTTTATTTTTATTTTCCCTCTCCCACATATATTTATATATATTTATATAGTCTCCTTTATATATATATATATATATATATATATTAAATAATATCGGATTATTTTGGATTCTTTTTCTCATTTTTCTTATAAATCGAAATTTGAATTCTTTTTCTTTTTTTTTTTCTTATAAATCTATTTTCATATCTTTTTATATTTAATTACGATATTATCATAATTACTCTATCTAATGAAATTCATTTAAAAGAATACGTTGTGTTTTTATATCATATATGGTTATATAGTGACGAAAGTTTATAAAATTTAAATAAAATAAATTAAAATAATATTAGTATCAGCACCGTATAACTTTTAAAGCATGCCCGCACCCGACACACACGATGAATATTATGAATTAAACGATAATGAGGAAAGTGAACAAGTGGATGAAGCTGGTTTACTTCCCTTAATGCTTCAAGCTCAAGATATGATAGCTAAATTGGAAAGTAGAGTACTGGAATTGGAAAATGATCTTGAGGTGTGTGTATTCTCGTTATATTTGAGACAATCAGATAATCAAATGTGGGGGTCTGTATTTCTTATTTTCTATGGGTCACGAGTTTCTAGCACCATCTTCCCAGCGTTTAAGGATGAATTATTATTATTACGGATTCAGCATGATATTTAATTCAATTTAATACAAAAATTTTTACTTACCTTATTTATTTTATTATTATTATTATTATTTATTATTATTATTATTATTATTATTATTATATCATTTATAGACAATAAATGAAGCTCACGAACAAGAACGAGACCAATTACTTCAAGAAATTGGTGAAAAAGATGAATGCATTCATAGTTTAAAAACAAAGGCTAGTCGTCTTGAATTTGGAGCTCGGGAAGCAATAATTGTACTTGCAAGAACAGTTGAAATGCTCAAATCACAAAATCTAGATGATGATGATGAAAGTGGTAAGGATGACGATGATAATGCTACGGCAGTGGAATCGACAGATCTTGAAGGACAATTTCTTGATAGTATCAAATTATGTCTAAATTATTTAAAAAGTTCCCAAAATAATAATAATAATAATAATAATCATCATCACCTTCATCATCATCATCATAATAATCATAATCATCATCAAAATAACCAAAGAGTTAATAGAGGTTATGAAAAACATCCACCATCACCTTCACCTACACCTATAAACACAAATAATGTACGGCGTGATTCAAAGCTCCAGTCACCTAATGGTGATGATGATTCTGATCATAAGGTCAATTTAACTTCCACTCAACAAAATAATATTCATAATGAAACAGAACATGATGAAAGTCACTTTAATTTTCATAATGAAATTGAACGTAATGATAATGAAGCACAAAATAGTGAAAATAATGAAAATAACAATCGACCACGAAGAGAATCTTTTAGTAGCAGTCGAATTTCTTTGGATGATATACCAGACCTTGATGAATATGGTTTAGATGGATCAGAAGATATTGCTGATTTTGCTATGTCCGATGAAGAAGATAATGAATTTGAATCAGAATTTCGTTCTCAACAAAGGAAAGCAATTGATAATGTAATACTTGAAAAGAATGAGGATGACGACGAGGAAGGGGAAGAAAATGAAGAAAGGGAAGAAAGGGAAGAAAGGGAAAGGTATAGAGAGAATTCTTCAAATTTCATAAACACCAATTACACTAATGAACCTGAAAGTTTAATCACCGAACATGAACATGAACATGAACATGATGAAGAGGAAACAGAACGAGGTGATGATGAAACGGATCATGAAGATGATATTCATCATAATATTCGAGATCATCTTCCTTCACCTGGACCTGTTCCAGAGATTTCTCATGCGAATCTTTGTCCTAATTGTAATACATTGCTTTCTCAAGTTGATCAACATATAGAAGAACGTGCTTACCTTAAACGAGATCTTTCCGCTCTTGCAGTATCTCTTTCTGAAGAACAAAATCTTCGCGCTCAAATTCAATCTAATAAAGAATCATTGGAACAAGAAATTGATGAATGGATAAATGCTATGTTTGAAAAGGTCAATCAAATGGTATTTGATGAAGCCAATGCACGGGAAGAATTAGAATTGTTGAATATAGAAACGAAGGGCAAGATGGAGAACCCATTAAAATCATCTGGAAGTAGACAAGATCGTTTAAGAGAGTTGAAATTATTACTTGTTCATTTGGATTCCACCAAACAGAGACAAGCTGCGCCAACACAGAATGGTGTTCCTTTAAGTAGAAATTCTGTTATTCGAAGAAGTTTGATGTCAAATTCCCCCAGATCAAGTAGAACCTATGGAAACTTTGGTCATATGTCACCAAGTATTTTCTCAAATAATTCTCTAGACGAAATTATTTTTGTTAAAAATAAACGTATTTATATTGATGGATTTGTATTTGAAGAATTCCAAGATTATGTGAAATCTCTAGCAACAACGCCTGCACCCAATAATTCAACTCCTACACATCCATTTATTAAACGATGTATGACTGAAGATATTCAACCTTGCTTATTTGAAGGTAGTAATGGTTGGAAATCACCATTTTATAAAAGAAGATTATTGGATGCTATCATAAAGAATCAATGCGAAATCGAAACAATATTTGTTGGTGATTCAAATTCTCTTCATAGTACTCAAAATGACAGTCAAATTAGTAGTTCAATATCAAATACACGAAGTAGTTATCAAGATCCACCGAAACCAGCACCAACAATTAAATGTGGTCTCTGCGGTCACCTTAGAAGCTGTGAATACCGCATGCGCCTGTCAGGACCTGACGCAGCTGTTCCACCCACTACAATAATGACGCCATCATCACGCTTCTCTATTGGTGGAAGCCCAGGATGGATTCCATTGGATAGATTCTGTAGAGATCGAGTAGTTGCTGTATGCGATTTCTATGCATACTTATCTCACTTACGTCAAGGATTACTTATCAATTCACCCGTATGGGCAATGTATAAACAATGTCTCAAAAATCGTAGAAAGATGAGTTTGGCTCGTGTTGGTAATGTTAGTATGTTTGAAGATGAAGAAAACATCAACAACGAATACTTAAACAACTCAGAAATTGAAGGAATGGTTGTGGTTGTTCATTAAACATATTAAATATCCTAAAATAATGCCGATTTTTGAACAATAGACAAAGGGAAAACAATTTTTTTATGAACACAATTTTTCTCCCAGCCAGCCAGCCAGTTAATATCGCGTGATCTTAATTTTTTAACTTTCAAATAATGGATGCCGACCTGAAATTAGTACTATACATTTATACATTTGTCTTTTGTGTTCATTTTCCATCTTGATCGAAATTAATGTAAATTTAAGATTAAGAAAAAAAAGGTTTAAAAAATTATGACACTATAATTGAGACGTTATTATATATAAAACATAATTTAGCATTCCTGTATTGTAAAGGAATAAAATAGATGATCGTCAAATTGCATAAATGTATAATCATATATATATGTACTTTATTTATTTATATTAAAAAGATTATTACTGTATGAATTATATAGAATCTAGATTATACGATATTGATTGAAAAATAAATTATTTGATCTCCTTTAAATTTGTGCAGCTTCTAATACATGATTTTTGAATTGATCTTGAATATAGACTTTATGTAAAGTTGATAATATTACGATTCAAATCTTTCTAGTAATTTATCTCCCCTTTGTACAACAAAGTTAGTGGTTGGGCCAATTAGACCTTCGTTATAAGAAGATTAATTAAAAATGCAATCTACCATATCTTAAAATTCGTTATCTCTAAAATAACGAGGGTGTAGCTTATTTTTAAAATTTGTTGTATATTTTAGCTTCGTTATACTGAAAAAGAAAATTCATTATATCGAGGTGCAATTTAATATACATGTTCACCAAACATAATTTCTTCGTTATATCAAATTTTTTATTATGAAAAAATTGGGGCAAACAAATATCCGTTATGTCAAGAAATTCGTTATATCAAAATTCGTTGTATCGAGGGTTGAATGATATATTGTATATATAATATTATAATAAAGGAAAAACATTTTTTTTATACGAAACGGTTAAAAAACGCTCTAATAAAATTCTCGTCATGTGTTACACGAAAATTTCAATTAAGTGATGTGACATTTCTGTTGATTGTTATTTTTGATTAATAAAAATATTTAGGTTTCATTTTAAACATGATATTATCTGGTGTGCGAACAATTATTAAATACCATAATAGGGGCTTAGTTCACCGCATTATTAAAAATTTTACTCATACAAACATCCCTCCTGATAAAGAATGTTTTATCGAAAAATTGAAGGGGGAAGAAAAAGGTTGGAAGAACTATAATTGGGTTTATGAAGCATTTTACATTTAATTACTTTGAAAATTATTTATATAGGTATCTCAATTATTAATTTTAATCGTCCAACTACCAAGAATGCTTTATCGAAAAAACTTTTAGAAGAATTCGAGGAGGTTATTGAAAAATTAAGAAATGAAACGTATGAGATCAATTTTTACTATTAAAGATGCCTTACAAATACTACAATGTTACAATACTCAATTTTCTAATATTTTTTAAGTGAATCACGTGTTGTAGTATTGAGAAGTCTAGTTGATTACGCATTTTGTTCAGGTGCTGATTTAAAGGTATGATAAAATTACCTTTATAAATTTAAATTTTTATTTTGAAATTCATCATCATCATTATTATTATTATTATTATTATTATCATCATCATTATTTCTATTGTTTCTATTATTATTTCTATTATTTCTATTATTTCTATTATTTATTTTAAAGGAGCGTGCAAATATGTCTCCAAATGAAGTGAAGAAATTTATTCAGAACATTCAACGAGTTTTCCGAGATCTCGAAGTATATTATAATTTTTAATTTGATGGGAATATTTGTGCTGAAATTATTCAAATTTTAAAATTCAATTGCTTATTCAAAGACACTTCCAATTCCAACAATTGCAGTAATTGATGGTGCCGCTTTGGGAGGAGGTCTTGAATTGGCATTATGTTGTGATATTAGAGTTTCTGGTTTGTAATCATTTATAGAACTTTAATTTTAGAATTATATTATTAATCATCTGTTTCTTTATACAATAGGAAAGAATGCAAAGATTGGACTTCCAGAAACGAAACTAGCAATTATCCCTGGGTAAATATTTTTGAAAATAGGTTATGAAATTTTTATCTTTCCTCACTTTTTAAAACTATATTTTTGTGTCTAGCGCTGGAGGTACTCAAAGACTTACACGTCTAATTGGCATTGCAAAGGCAAAAGAATTAATTTTCACTGGTCGAATATTGAATTCACAAAATGCCTTAGACTCTGGTTTGTAAGTTATTTTTACACAGGTTGAAAATATGTCACCTATTGGATAATAGATGAATATAATATTTATACTGAAAATTATGAACAAATCAGTTACTCAATATATGTAGAAAAAAAATTTTTTTTACACATATCAGATACTCAATTTGTGCCTAATTTTTAACATAAATATTATACTCATCTGATATCCAAATAGGTGACATTTTGACTCATGTTATACAATAATTATTTTTTTAATGAATTTAATTATTTACATAACACCTTATCAAGAAAATTAATTAGGTGTTAATATTATGAACCTACATAGATTTATGCTGTTAGGAAAATTAATAAGGTGTAATATTACAAAAAAATATTATGAAACCTATGTAGATTTATATAAATTTATATAGATTACATAGATTTACAGTGTGTAAATTTACATAAATCCTTAATATTTATGTAATATTACATCTTATTGATTTTCCTGATGACACAATTACATATATTTATTTAATTTATATGTAATTTTAATAATTATATGTAAATATATGTAATTAATAATATTACACATTAATTTTCCTGAACATATCATAAATATATTTATATATTTTTAGGTATCGTAAATTATATTGCACAAGAAGGATCATCATATCCCATTGCACTTAAATTAGCCAAGGAAATTCTTCCAAATGGTAATTTACATATATATTTAATAATTATAAAAATTTGTTTCCAGTACAGTTTTTTAGGATTAATACATAAGATCTAATTAACATAAGGCCCTATTGCTCTCGAAATGGCTAAACTTGCTATTGATCGTGGAATTCAACTTGATTTGTATGTGAACTTTATTTTTATATCTTTCTATGAAAATATATTCTTATAATTTTATTATTAAATTTATTTTCATATTAGGGATTCGGCATTAAAATTTGAAAATGCTTGTTACGCCCAAATCATTCCTACCGAAGATAGAATTGAAGGTAATTTTATCAAATAAATTATAAAATATTATACTAATTTGAATTTTTTTTTTTTTGCTTTAACTTTTTTTTCTTTGATTTATTTATAGGATTAAAAGCATTTAAAGAAAAGAGATCACCAATATATGAAGGTCGATAAATAAATATATTTTATCATGTTTTCTTTACATTATTGTATTAAGTTTAATTTCTTAAATAAAGTTGAAATAATTTTGGATTCATCAATTTTTATAAGTTGAAAGCAAAAAAAAATAATAATAATAAGTTGACAAACATTTTGTGATATGATGTTTTGCATTAGGCATAATATATTCTAGAGAGACGAGGTGTTTCTTTAGTGCATGCTTATAAAAACGATAATTTCGCACTATAGAGATTTAGAGATTATCGAAATATTTTCACGTGATTCACAATAAAGTACTATAGGTATAATGATAAAATTAAAAGAATGTAATTTACATGTTTTTGGGAATGGAAGGTATTCTTTTTAGTTTATAAACTTTAGACTTTAATTATCAGAAAAGCGATAGTTAATTTTATTGTAAGTATTATTAATATGAATTTTTCTTTAGATCAGTTTAATTTTCCAAAAGAGGAGAAAAAAATCCTCGAATTCTGGAAGGAAATAGATGCATTCAATACTCAAGTACGCTTATCCAAAGGAAGACCACCTTACTCGTTTTATGATGGTCCCCCATTTGCCACGGGACTTCCACATTATGGACATTTATTAGCTGGCACTATAAAGGTAAGCATTAGACTAAGCATTAAATAAAGTATTCGGGATATTTCAAACATGTTCCTTGGAAATTCAAGGTTTAGAGGTCAAAATATAGGATATTATGACACGTTATGCAACTCTGACTGGCCTTTATGTAGAAAGGAGATTTGGATGGGATTGTCACGGGCTTCCTGTCGAGCACGAGATTGACAAAAAGCTAGATATCAAGGTATATTTAATAAATTTATCAATTGTATCAACTTTTGACAACTTTTTTATAATTAATTGGTTTTATTTGATAGGGGAAAGATGACGTTTTAAAAATAGGTCTTGATAAATACAATCAAGAATGTAGAAACATTGTAATGCGTTACTCTGATGCCTGGAGAGAAACAGTAGAACGTCTTGGTCGTTGGATTGATTTCGATAATGATTATAAAACATTAAATACAACATTTATGGAAAGTGTTTGGTGGGTATTCAAAAAACTCTACGAAAAAGATCAAGTATATCAGGGAGTGAGAATTATGCCATATTCCACTGCCTGTACTACACCCATTTCAAATTTTGAAGCTGCACAAAATTACAAAGATGTAAACGATCCTTCAAGTAAGAATTTTGAATTATACAAGTTTTTTTTTTTTTTTTTTTGAATTTGATTCAATTGGTTAACATGATATCTTATTATTCACTTTTTAGTCGTTGTTTCCTTTCCTTTAGTTCACGAACCTGAAGTATCACTTTTAGCGTGGACCACCACACCGTGGACTTTACCCAGTAATCTAGCATTATGTACTAATCCTAATTTTGAGTATATAAAGATTATTGATTCAGCATCTGGGAGAACATATATTCTCTTGGAAAAATGTTTAAATGCTTTATATAAAAATCCCCAAAAGGCTAAATATGTTATAAAAGAAAAATTTTTGGGTAAAGACATGAAAGGATGGGAATATATACCATTGTTTGACTATTTTGTGTCTAAGGTAATTTTTGTTAATAATATTAAAATAATATCAAAATTCGATAATTTCTCGATAATAATAATAAAAAAAAATGACAAAAATAGTTTAAAGGGAAAGGATTTGTTGTTGTTAATGACACATATGTAACTGATGAGAACGGTACTGGAATTGTCCATCAAGCTCCAGCTTTTGGTGAAGATGATTATCGTGTATGCATAGAAAATAATATAATTACCGAGGATGGTTATCTCCCGTGTCCTGTTGATGAACAAGGTCGGTTCACTCATGAAGTATCAGATTTTTCAGGAATTCACGTAAAAGTGTGTCATTTTTTTAATTTTTTCTTAATAACAAAATAATCTTGACTTTTCGTTCAATATATTTAGTTTTAATATTCTTTAATTTAGGAAGCTGACAAAAATATTCAGAAACTTATAAAGCAAAAAAATCGATTAATCGTTCAATCACAATTGATGCACAGTTATCCTTTTTGTTGGCGGTATTTAAAATATTTAAATTTAAAGATAATATAATACAAAGCTTTTTTTTTTTTCTTTATTGATTTATTTTTTTTTTTTTAATACTTATAAATTCTTAGTTCAGATACTCCTTTAATTTACAAGGCTGTTCCTTCTTGGTTTGTTAGAGTGAAACCAATCATTGAAAAATTATTAAAGAACAATTCAGAAAGTTACTGGTAAGTGAATTTTTTGATATTTATATTCTTTTAGGTATTATAATCTCACTTTTTCGGTGTAAACCTTTATTACAGGGTTCCCGATTTTGTAAAAGAAAAACGATTTGCTAACTGGATAATCAACGCTCGCGACTGGAATATTTCACGTAATAGATATTGGGGTACGCCTATACCTCTTTGGGTTAGTGAGGATTATGAAGAGGTAAAGTATTTATTCCATATTTATTCTATAATGTACGTTGCCAAAATTTTACCGTTAAATTGTTCTTTTGAAATCCTAGATTGTTTGCATAGGTTCATTGAAAGAATTACAGGAACTATCCGGTTGTGGTAAATTAACAGATATTCATCGTGATAAAATTGACCACATCACTATTCCTTCAAAGAAAGGAAAAGGCACTTTAAGGAGAATAGAGGAAATATTTGATTGTTGGTTTGAATCGGGCAGGTAATTATTATTATTATTTTTTTATTTCGTTTTATTTTGTGTTATAGAAGTTTTCTAAATCTTACCTTTTTCGAATCAATAGTATGCCCTACGCTCAATGCCATTATCCTTTTGAAAACAAAGAAAAATTTGAAGCTTCTTTCCCGGCAGACTTCATCGCCGAAGGACTTGACCAGACTCGTGGATGGTTCTATACATTAATGGTCTTGTCAACACACCTTTTTGATAAGCCAGCATTTAAGAATTTAATCGTCAATGGCCTTGTATTGGCTTCGTAAGTTTTTTGTCGAAATTCTTACTGAATTCATTTTATAATAATATAAATAGTAAAAAAATGTTACTATATGACATCCAGGGATGGTAAAAAAATGAGCAAACGTTTAAAGAACTATCCCGAGCCTATTAATATTATTAATACATATGGTGCCGATGCCCTAAGGTACGTCTCATAAGCTTATTAATCTATTTTTTACATATATTTTATAAGTATATTTTTTTATACAGATTATACCTCATAAATTCTCCCGTTGTTCGCGCGGAACCACTGAGATTTAAAGAAGAAGGTGTTAAGGAAGTTGTATCAAAAGTGTTTTTACCTTGGTATAATGCATATCGATTTTTCGAGTCTCAAGTTATATTGCTTAAAAAGGTCGCGTGCAGATTAATTATTATTCTCGTTTTTTTTTTAAAAAAAAAGATAATAATAATAATAATAAATTTTTAACAGGAAACCAAGGTAGAATTTCATTATAATTCTAATGCAGAGAAATCACTCAATGTTATGGATAGATGGATCTTGGCATGTGCCCAAAGTCTTATAAAATTCGTACGCGAAGAGATGAAATGTAAGTCATTAAAATAGTTAATTTAATTTATTTAGTAAATTAATAAATTGTCCTTTTTTTTTTTTTTGAATGAAGCCTATCGGCTTTACACTGTTGTTCCAAAACTGTTAAGTCTTATCGAGCAATTGACTAATTGGTATGTCCGATTTAACCGTAAGCGTTTGAAAGGTGAAAATGGTTCGGAAAACGCGATACATGCTTTGAATACGCTTTTTGAAGTTTTATTTACTCTTTGCCGTGCCATGGTAAATACATAGAATTGTATTTATCCAATTATGTGAATGACTGAAAGACTAATTTAATATTTGTTTAATGTTTTTAAGGCTTCCTTTACACCCTTTCTTACAGAGTATATGTACCAAAATCTAAAAAAATACATCCCCATAACAAATTTATTCCCGACAATTGGTAATAATACTGATGATGTTCGTTCCGTTCACTTCTTATTATTCCCGGAAGTTAGAGAAGAATATTTTGATTCGGATATTGAACGCAGAATGTCTCGGATGCAAGCAGTCATTGAGTTAGGTCGTTACATTCGTGAGAAGAAAAATATAGGGTTGAAGGTTTGTTTAGTTTTATTTATATTTATTGAATAATTATTGGCTTATCAGTATTATTTAAAATTATTGTGAATGATAATTTACTTAATTGTAACTAGACTCCTTTGAAAGAGCTTGTAGTTATACACTCTGATCCGCAATATCTTTCTGATACGCTTTCTCTTCAAAATTATATAACTGAGGTAGGTAGTTGAAATATATATATATATATATAAATATATAAATATTCAAAATTTAAACTTTTATTTTGTATTCCTGAAATTTAATAATCGTATTATTGACAAAAACTTGGTTATTCTAATAGGAGCTGAATATCAAAAATCTTGTGGTCACGTCTGAAGAAGATAAATATGGTATTAAATATCGAGCTGAAGCTGATTGGAAAATTTTGGGACAAAAACTCAGGAAAGACATTTCTAAGGTCAAACAGGGTCTTCCGAAATTGACCTCGGATCAAGTTAGAGAATTTGTTCAGACAAAAGAAATTTTTATTGATGGAATTAAATTGATTGATGAGGATCTTCAAGTGATTAAATATTTTGAGAACGCAGATAGCCACTATGAAACAAATTCCGATAAAGAAGTTCTTATACTTTTGGATGTTAAAATTTATCAAGAATTACAGGAAGAAGGATGGGCACGTGAAATCGTGAACCGTGTGCAGAGACTTAGAAAGAAGGCAAGTTTATATTTTTGATATTAAATGTTATATTCTTAAATTCATATTTTTATTTGGCATCATTATATTCATTTTTTTTTTATTTTTCTAGGCGGGATTACAACCGATAGATCCCGTATTAATGTATTATAAATTTATTAAAGATAATGACAATCAAATTGAAACAGTTATCAAAACACAGTCGGATATTATTCTTAAGGTTTTGAAACGTTCGTTACTACCACTTTCTGAAAAGGTAGAATCAGCAGAGGTTATTATTGAAGAACAACAAGAGGTATGTTTTAGATGTTTTAGATGTTTACGTTTTCTTTCGAAACATTATAAATTAATTTTTATCCAAAAATTTATAAAAGGTTAATGAATCCACCTTTATTCTGTGTTTTGTCAAAGATTGGTAAAAAGTTAAATGAGATAAATGAGATAAATGAAAGGTTGATTAAAATAAAAATTGATTTTGTCAACATTGAAAAGATTTTGTTATAATAATTATTTTCACACGTGAGAATGAATAAAATTTTTATAAATTTAATAATGCTGTACTCGTGACACGGAGTATAAAAAGAAATCATATTTTGGGAATTGAGGATTTTTTTTTAACAATTCTTTTTGTTTGCACAGAATAAAACAAAAGAATAAGGTTTTGTTGACTATAGTTCAAAATGTCTACTATAACAAATAATAACTCAATCCAATTACAGTATTCCTTAGCACGCGATGTTGGTTGGGCTTTCGTACAGGAGTATTACAGATATTTTCATGATAATCCAGAGACTTTGTATCAATTTTACGGTGAGCAATCTCGACTTATCCGTGGCTTAGAGGGTGAAGAAGTAAAGATTTGTCAAGGCTTACAGGTAACAAATGTTTAATATTGTTTTGTTTCTGAATTCTTTCAATTCTTTATAATAGTAAATCCTGAGTTTGTTTTTGTTTTTTTTTAAAAAAAAAAAAAACTAAATTACTACTCGAAATTTATTTCACTAATATTAAAGTTTATTCTTTTTACTCTTTGTTAATTAACTTATCTTTTGTAAATATATATTTTATATATTTGAACTTTTAGGAGATCAAAAAAAACATAGCTGATATGCATTTGAAAGATGCAACGGTAAACATTAATAATATTGACAGCTTAGATTCTTTTGGCAACAAAGTAATTGTTCAAATTACCGGTCGGTATTCCAACAAAGGCGAAAATTATCGTAAATTTGTCCAAACTGTTATTCTTGATACACTTGATACACGACAAAATTCTTATTATGTATCAAGTGATATATTTCGTTATTTAAAAGATGAAATTGATGACACTAATAAGTCACAATCGATAGATCAAGAGCCCACATATATTGATGATATTTCTTCATCAATAACTGAAGAGAAATTTAATTCTGAAGATTCAGTTTCTACCATGTCAACGGGTACTCTTGCAGAGGAAACCACACAAGAAACAGTTAGAGATATCAAATTAACTGAAGAAATTATTTCAGAAATTCCGGCGACAAAAGCGAGCATATCTGAACCTTCATTAACTAAATCAACAGTGAATGACATAGTTAACCCTGTTGTAGATAATAAAGTTTTACCTGATAATGATTCGATAAAATCAAAAGATGTTATTCAAGTTGATAAAGGATCCTCAATCACTATACATACAGAAGATACAGAAAAAGTTTCTACTCCTATATCAAGCGCTGTGACTGCAATGACGTCACCTACTCAGTCATCGAAACCAGCTTCATGGTCTAATGTAGCTGCCAGTGATAGTAGTAAATGGGCTCATCATCAACTTACTGAAACCAAAGGCCGAGTGGTTGCACCACAAATAACACGAACCCAATCCCAACCATCGAATCGAGATCCAAGAGACCGTAGTAAAGGTAAAAAATAAATGATTATCATTATTTATTATTAATTAAGTAAAAAAATTAAATTAATTAATTAAATTATATATTATTTGTTTGTATAGAATTTTCACTTTATGTCAAAGGGGTTGTTCCGAATATGAGTCAAGAAGTTCTTACAAATGTATTCAAAACCTTTGGACCAGTGAAAACTTTGGATGTTGTTCCAAGCAAAGTAATAATTATTTATTTTTAATTTTAATTTTAAATTGCAGAGTCGGAAATTTATTTTATACTAATTAACTTATTAATTTAAAAAGCAATGCGCTTTTGTGGAATTTTCATTTTATGAGGCTTATCATCAAGCACTTTCACAAAGACAAATCCAAATTCCTGGAATGGGAAACGTTACTGTTGAAGAAAGACGTAAGAATGAAGAAGTCCGACATCGCAATCGACAAAGTTATGATTATCAACGTTACGGCCAGAATCCACATAATGGGATGGGTTCTCAGCGTGGAGGTCGTGGAGGTGATAGACGCAATATGGGATCTCGACCACCTGCTAAATCACCATCTTAATAAGAAATGGTAAGTTACATTTTCAAGATTCATCTTAAAAAAGAATTAATTAATTAATTAAGATTCGGAAAAAAAAATCCAAGAGAAAAATAATATTTAAATTAAACAATTATTTATGTCTTTATTTACTTTATTGACCATAGATATGAAAAAATCCCAGATGTCCAATAAGAAGTTAAAATAATATTTGAATTCCAAATTTTTTGTATATAATATATGATAACATTTATATTATATTATTAATCTTAATACCATAAATGATAAAAGTACAATCTTTAATTGAATTTACATGCCATGAATAGAGAGTTCATTAATTAATTTCATTACAGAATTTTTTGGTTGTTGTAGTTGTTATAGTTGTTATAGTTATAATTCTTGTAGTTGCCATGTTGTGTATGTTATATTGGTTTGTTGTAATTGTTATAGAAAAAAATTATTAATACATTGTATCAACGTTTTCGTGCAACTAAAAAATATTAATTTTTGCGGATACAATTTTATATTTATTTAATTTAATATTAACAGTATTGTATTTTATTTATTAACCTAATATGATTTTAGGAGATAGGGGTGTGACCTAATTTTATTTAATTGTGTTGCGTGAATCATTTCCTTTTTCCCCAAAACATCACCTTATTTGGTGAATTGTGTTCCCTGCTCAACCTGTTATTTTTTTTCCTTATTCCTATTCCTAATCCTAACTATTTTCTATTTTTTATTTTTCTAAACCTAAAGAGGAACCTCAACTTTTGATCAAGAGGTTGAGAAGGAGGAGGAGGTAAGGAAATACCTCTGTGAAACCAGGTTAATTAAATAGTTGATTAGAATAGTGTTGATTTTCTAATTTTTTTTTTTGAAAAAAAATTGAGTTGATAACAAGTTTTTATGAATTCTTTCAAGAATTGATAATAATAACAGATTGTTGTCACAATAACAATTAAATGATTATTCTGATTAAGAGAGATTTTTTTCTTTAATTTTGTCAATAGTGTATGCATTATTTTTTTTTTAGTTATACATAATTTAATAATAATTATTAATTATTAATTAATTTAATTAATTATTTTTTTTTAATAAAAAATAAAATAAAAATTAGGAATGTAACAATTGTGTCATCACATAATCACATAAGAATTATGCCAATTAAATAGAAGAATCTAAATTTTTTTTTAAAAAAAAAATGAATGAATGAAACTATTGTTATTTAATCACTATTGTGATTTTAACTACAATAGTGATTTATAATTATTAATTATTAAAAAATTAGAAAAGAATAAAACTATTGTTATTTAATTACTATTGTTATTTAACTACAATAGTAATTAATTGATTTTGACTTTTTTTAAAAAAAAATTTTTGCAATCAATATAAATACACAAAAAATAATTGATATTTTTTTTGATTTTTCATTTATTATTTATTCAACAACAATTATTTTTTATTATTATTTATTTCATTTAAAATTAAAATAAATAATTATTAAAATAAAAAAAATATCCACTCATATCTCTACAATTTGTTTTATAGATTCCTTCACTGAGAATTCAATAAAAAATAATTTTTTTGTAATTACTATTGGCATGATAAATTTTAAAGATTCACAAGAAGAAAAAATGTATTTACAAATTATAACATTTTATCCAATAGATAAATACAATAATCTTCAAAAATTCAGAAAGAAAGATATTATTGCTTTGGAGGATTGAAGATAATAGTGAAGAAAAAAAACAAAAATTAATTAAGATAAGAGATTTAATAATAATAAAATAAAATTAAAATATTAAATAAAAGATAAATTTGAATATTTTTAAATATTAGCTTTCAATATTACAAACATAACTTTCAGTTGTATCAGTAGAATTCACATTTGAAAAGATCAAAAATAAATCCTATTCAAATAATATTAAAGATAAATATGAAAGAATATCTAGTACCAAAGGACAACAGAATTATGAGCTTTCACTTTTATCATTTTGTTAATAAAATTCACTTGATACCAATCATTAAAAAAATTAATTATCAATTCTCCTTATATATAACCAGGCACCTTACTTTTGTTTGTGAGTTAGCTTTAATAAAAATTACCTCAAATTAACTTTACTGAATCTATATCACTGGTCGAAAATTGATAAAACATACACATATCGAGTATCCGATATGTATATGGTACATCCCTAATATCAGATGTATATCGGGTACCTGATAGGTGTAGAAAATATTTTTTATACTTATCGGGTACTCGATATATATATAAAATATTTTTTACACTTATTGGTAGGGTTGTTAACCAGAGCATAATGTTCTGGCATCAACCTGGGTTATGTATCACTCTGTCACGGAGCGGGTTAAGATTTCTAATTTTTTGTACTATACATGTTTCCAAAATTGATTTTGAATTTTTGAGGTATTTCGACTTTTTGAGATTTATGTAAAATCTATTCTATA